TTGTTTTTTTTTTTTTTGTTGTTGTTTTTTGTTTTTTTTTTTTTTTTTTTTGTACCTTTGGCATTCATCAGACTTTGTATATATAGTACTGTCTTTACCAAGGCTTAAAGACAAATATTCCGCACTCCAATTGAAATTTAGGCGAAACCAACCCATTTTTATTAGCAAATTAGGTACACTGTGTACTGATATCGGGCAATGTTTGCAGGGCTTCAGCAGCATAGGAAAAAACAACTTAACTGCTGCATTAACGACATAAAAGGAGAGGGTCCGGAGCTGGTTTTTAAGTCCCATGAAATAACAGACATCAGATGTTCAAATGCTTTTCCTTTTGGTATAAAAATATAACAATACGCCACTGTTAACGGCACTTAGGTTCCATTTAATTATTAACAAAAGCCAAAAGAAGATGGGACCAATTCTGCCCACTGTAATTTCAAATATCTAAACCTTCTATCTGAGATGCATAAACCTGATGGGATAACAAGTACCCGGTATGTCGGGCGGCTTGGACTAAGCACCTAACTGGTAGCAAATTACTGTAATACCAGCATTTAACGTTAATGTCTATAATTATTCTAGTCCATCAATCAAATTTCTGTATATTTTGTATCTAAGGTAATCCAGGTTTCCCATCAAAACGTAAACGAGGCCCAAGTGATGTAGTGGGTGGGTGGTCAGTTGGAAAGGAAGTATATGATTCACAAAGAAAGGGGAAGCTTTAACCATTGTCGCCTAGTTATCAACGCCGTTTTGGAAGAAGAACATCTATGAACGAATTGTTTGTGAACTTTTTTTTAGGATCTTGCTCTCATCATAGTCAAGATTGATATCGGTACCAAATATCTTTACATGTAAGTTACGTGTGAGATTTTAGTTTCTGTTTTTGCTGAATTAAAGTTGTACTTTTATTTTCAATGCTACACAGGATACTTGTAGCATTTGTACATGTGCGGGTCCACATAGACTGAGTTGTTTCCTGATTTGAGCTGATTTGGTGCAGCAAGGGACACAAGTTATCCCAGTGGGCACTTGCACTGAAAATACCTTTACAATGCCCGCCACCTCATCTGTCACAAGTCAGGGTGGAACGACCGTAGCACACAAAGCGGTGTGAACATGGCACAATAATGCATTGTGTAGACAGTGTTGCATGGATTATTTATTACCGCTATATCAACTTGCAGAATGCTTCGCCAGGGTTCAAGCAGAATTTGCACTGACAAGTGTTTTACGTGTGGCAAGTGATCCTATCTGTCTTTCTCGACGTTTAACGCATTACGTGTGTAATATTTCAAAATATAATCGTATCCATGCCCTCTGTTCTGATCTGGTAGCCTGAATTGATAACATACATCTTGAAACCACTTTTTTGCACATAATATATGTACAGATTATAAAAGTAAATTCTGTCGATTTGTGTTGTGGGCGTTCATCTTTTTACTCTACCTTCTTTCAGGGCTGGCAGGCCTCCGCCTAAGGGGCGTTCAAAAAGACGGCTGTATTCCTGGCAAATGCGAATGATGGAGTTAGAACTGGACTTCTTGGATTTAGACCAACTGGACTTCAGTCTCGACCCTCAGGTACGGGTAAATACTTTATTTTGTTTTTGGGTTCGCAAATACTGGTTAAATACTTTATTTTTGGTTTTGGGTCCGTTTTAGGGTATGCTGTAATATTTTCAAATATTTGATGCTTTATTGAAACATTATAACACGAATATCAAGAGCTTAGGTTCAGACCAAAAGAAATTTCGACGAAAGCAGAAAGTGAATTCTTTTCTAATACTTCAACAGCATAATCTTGTGCATGGTGCGTACTCATAGAAAGATAAGTTCGACGTTAATCGTATATGTGTATGGACATGCTGGTCACTAGAGTGTGCGTCAGGACTCTGAATTCACTGCGCGTCTCACAAGCGTCAGTGATGCTGATCTCGGACACAGATACGACACTCCTCGGTTGCTTTACGTGGAACCAAGCAATTCAGAGATGAATTAAAGCATTGTAAAAATAAACTGTCAATAGATGTGTTGTTTAATGAAATCAAAATGATAACCAGTGCTCTTGTTTGTAAGGAAATGTTTATATTTGTTTTTTTATATTTGAGGAAACTCAGGTATGAGCTAAGATATTGCGATACCGATCCTCAGGCCTGAGGGTTAAAGCAATTCAATAATTATGAAAGACGCCTTTGTTGCTATTCCCTTGGGAAATCTGTCAGTTTATTAAAAGCATTCCCCTTAAGCGAAGGCATCACGATTAGCGCGGATCGCACGGTGACCGAGGTCTGGCTGACAACGAGATCCGGACTTTACATTCGCCCAACTTGTCAGAGTAAAGCGTTTGAAGAATTTTAACAAATTGAAAGGTGTTCCTAGTTTATTACAATGTGATTTAAGATATCTGACTTGTCTGTACTTGTCCGACATCAAATGGTGACAGAAAAGGCGACAGAAAATAAGAGGAAGTACTCCATCTTGTGGTTTACCTTTGCACTCGACTTAACAGTCATTGATTATCCTATGACAGCTAACACCTTTTATTCTTTTTCATTTTAGGTTCCGTTTTATCCTGTGGGTTTAGAAGAATACAAGCTGGATAATATCAATCTGGCTAGCCCCGGGACTTATTATAAAGATGTGCCTCCGGAACATAACCCGGAGGCAATTTTGGGTAGGTTCGGTGTTTTCTCATATACGTTGAAAAAGGTTGGTATCACATTAAGCAAACGCAACAACAAAAAACTATTGTGATATTGTCCCGCAATACGACTTAAACGCTGCTGAGGTTAGGTTTTATGGTATATAACTCTGCAGGTTCCGGAGTGAAAAAGTTGTGACCGGTGGTGCCATCCGACGGCTGTTTTTATATACAAAGACCTAGGTTGTTTGATGTGGTAAATGGGTCAAAATGAGATGAGTATGAAGCAAACTTTGGTCTTCTCTAAATTGAAAAAAAAAGCTGAAAACACTTTTTTACAACAAATTCCCCTACCAATAAAGTGGACAAAAGGTAGAGGTCAAATGAAGGTAGCAATAATTATAAGGAAAATAGCAAAAATAGTCTAGACGCTTGCAGTAGGCCCTACCCGTGTATGTACTAGTTAAATCAATGTCGGTAGTGAAGAGAATTTGGTGTCATGCCAAGACAAAAATTCTATTCGTTCCAGCATTACCTGCCTCCTGGTCAATTCTTCATTAATTAGGTTCTTAGCAGTGCATTATGCTGCTAGGTCTTTCAGGTACATGCGATTAAGCAATGGGGAAAGAATATGATTGCGCCCACTCATCCCAAAATGCATAAATGCATGGACTCACGCACACATGCATGCGCGCACGCACACATGGCCAGTTATTTTTATAGTTCGATTCTGATAAATCAATTAGCGCTGCGTTACTCGAAGATTGAACTAAAATTGGACCGAGATAATATCAGCGCGCTCACTGCGGTTTCTTTTCATATCGTATATCATAATTATAGGCCTGTGCTCACATACTTCGCCTTATAACTTATAAATAAGATTTATCTCTCATTTCAGATATTTTGGTCCGGGCACAGCACAACAACAGCCACGGGGCGTCCCCATGCAGCGACGGGTCAGTGCCTTGTGAGGAAGAGGTTGAAAATTTAAAGATCGACAACACTATTGCCGAGTGTTTTGTGAGTGACAAAGCAGATTCTGAGGTAAGTAATTCAGCGATGCGAAGCAAATGTAACACAGCAGAGAGTTAAAAGTAATTCCATTACCGTTTTCTCTCCAGAAGCCAGGTTTCTCAAATATATTTCAATCCATTTTCAGTCTAAGCAACGCCCTGTCCACAAATCGGTAAAGGAAAAGGGAATTGCATCAGCGGCTCCATTAAAAACAGAAACTATCTCTCACACTACGCCAACTAAACAGAAAACAGCAACAACCCCTAAAGACAAGAAATCACAAGGATTCGGTGTACGTTTTTCTAACGCAGAAAAGCAAAGTAATTCAACGGCAAATAGAAATAACTCAAAAATCGAACAGAATAGCAACGCTACAGGCAAGCAGGTAGCAGACACTACGTTGCTTGCGGAACACTCTGCAACTGCAAAACCCAAAGGTACTTTGGGAACGTTGAAGAAGTTGCGATCTCTCTTTCCGGAACGAAAATCCGAAACAAAAGAACAAACGGATACGAATAAGGAAAAGAACCAAAAATGGCAGCAGCACACGAATAAAAGAAATGAATTGAACGCAATGGGCAACAAGATCCATTCATTTTCTAATGCTAATGACGTCACGGCACCCCAACTCAATGAACCGACATGTTATTATAATCCATTATCAGTTTTAACGTTACCACATAATAATAATCAATCTAACCGTCACCCAAAGGGGGGTCGAAACGGGTTTCACGAAAACAGGCATCTTTATTCTACCAGCACCGATGAAGAATCCACCACTCTGTCCGCGGCTAACTCTGACACTTCAGAGAATAGGACATATGGCAGTGTGTCTGACGTCACAGATATTACTGACGTCACGCCAATGACATCATTGGTGTCCTCTCGGAAACATAGCTTGCAGAATGAATCTTTTTTCCAACGTTCAAATGAAACGCCCACTGCATACGTTTTAGAGTCAGACGACGAAGTTTCAGATACGTCATCTGTTTTAAGTGACCTGTCACCTGGATATTCTACGGGACCTGATGACGTCACAGATAACAAAGATGAACAGAAACTTACGGAAGGACAAAGCAGCAAATACACGAATCTCCTTTACTTTACTGCAAGAAATGGGGACTCAAAAAGCTTAGTAAGTATTTTTTGTTCATAGTTTTAGAAACGTATTTCCCAACTTTTGAACCTTGAATGTTCTAATAAATTGTATCAACTTAAGTCTTTATTTTGTCTCTGGATTAGTCAGCGTGAAGTGCCTAGTAGATGGATTTTAGCCCTAAATTTTCTCGTCTCAGGGTTCACTACTATCTTCGGAGGACGTGGACTGTTTACATGACGTAGATGGCAATACATTAGCCCATTATGCAGCGTCTGGCGGGAACACTGACTGCCTCCGTTATTTAGTCGCCAGATCAAACAATGTGCTTAGCATATTAAACAAAAATGGCTTGACTCCAATCATGCTGGCAATACAGGTAACTGTCAGTCATACCAATCTATATAAAATTTCTATATTTTGATATATTAAAGAAACCTTTAATTTGTCTGAATTTAAAGATATGTAAATTGCTACACCGTGAATGGCTCGTTTAAATTTCATAACAATGTATAATGATATAATTCATCTTTTATATGAACTTATTTTGATTATTTCCTGATGAACATAAGTCTGATAAATTATCCTTACTGCAAATTAATTGTGTCTATCCTACTGAGGGTAATGGATAATTGTCTTTTTACGACTGTGTTTAGGTACATTAACATGTGATGTGCATTTTAATGGTAATGATTCACTCTCTTTAAAAATGGATCATAGAGAAAAAAAACAGTAAAACAATGACATGTTTATTTTCATATTTTATAGGACGGGAAACTGAGTTGTCTGGAGTGGTATCTGAACTCTCAATACAGCACTGAAGAAAATATTAATTTAGTTCTTTATGCGGCTGATGTAGGTCAGGTAATGGGAATGCTACAAATAATGAGGGCATTGTTATGTGCATATGTTCAACTTAGAATTCAAAACTCCTAATTCGCCATATGACACTAATCTGATAACACATGTTGGCTGTTTTACGAGTGTTACAGTGATTTGACGAGAAAATTACAGTTGTCCTTCTCATTTAAATTTATGTCATAAACCTGTAGATATATAGAAAAATAGCGAGACGAAGTGGCTGCAGTGAGAATAAGCGTCATCTACTGATATAAATCCATACCAGACAGTCAGAACTGACTAGCTCTACTACTGGGACATCGGCAGGCATTTACTATATTGGTATTCAAGAAAGGTCCTCTTTTTAGGGCGACTGTCTGAGGGCAGTATTGAGGAAGTTTCCAGCGAGTGTGTCCTACGCTGACAGTGAAGGTAACACGGCCTTGCATGCTGCCGCATCAAAGGGACAGATGGCATGTCTGCAGGTAAAGTCACTTTCTTATCATAGAAGCAATATCGCAGACAAAATACAAGAAACTTGAAATTATATTAAGTTAAAATGCCACTGAAAACGTACCGAATACAGTTTTACCGCATGGATGAGGATGAATCCAACACTAGTTACATTCAAAGTTAACATCAAGATAGAGGACGCCATAAAACACATTAGGATATTAGATACTTGAGACTTAAAAATTGAGAAACAGAAGATTGTAACTCTGTGGCACCACGCAACACTTGGACCCTAAAAACTCATGTCGCAGAGTTTTCTGGTTTAAAAACAATATACGGTAATTTCTTATATAGCATTGCAATAAAAAAGCTTGTGTGGAGTGAAATTTTACTTTATAGAGATTGAAATGTTTCTTTATGATAAATAACAAGTATCACGCAAAAATTAGAGACAAAGCAATGTATACGAAGTTATTACTTCAAGGCATTGGTGGACCATCGTGCTGATGTGACAGCTCGTAATCACGATAAAGTGACCCCCCTGGATTGCGCCAGGCAAACCAACCATGAAGAGTGCGTAGAATACCTTCGACTTGTAGAAACCAACGCTGAACTACGCACTGAGGTCAACCATCTGTCGCAAGAAGGGGTAAAGTAAGTTGTCCTTTTTTACTTATTTTCTTGTCATGCTGCCATCATGTCAATTAACTGCACTTTAAAGCACGCTATTTCGGAAGAAATCCTTATACAAGCAAGAAATGATTCTTTTCAAAATTTCAACGGGTTTTCTCTTAAACGCCTCTGTATACTCTAGCTGACTCTCTTAGGTAAAATATTTGACAAATTTAAAAAACCCAAGGAAAGGTAAACTGTCATATTTTCTATGTCTACATATCCTCCAAAGCTACTGGTCTTTCCCAATTCAGACGCTGTAAATTATAAAACCTCTCAAACAAAAGTACCTTACGTCGATATCTCCTTCTGAAATGTACAGAGACTAAAATTGAACAAAACATCGAACGTAAGCGCAAGGACAGGTGGAGCAATGATTCGTGAGCATATGAAAATTGCCCCCCCCCCCCCCCAGCAAGGAAAATTCATTTTGGCGAGTAGGTCCAGTAAAGAGTACTTTTCATGCGCAAAATTCTATTGTTGGGTATACTAATTGCCAAAATTCGTCCAGTGCACTTTATAGGGTCTGCTACTTCTTGCCAATTGTCTTACCGTAGGGCTGCAAACGTCAATTCCTTAATGTATTTTAGTAGCCACCCAGCCTTTATGATGACACTAGCCTCATTAGCATATTAGCATCAAGCCTAACATGTGGGCATATAATACCGGTACTACCCGTTTTCCAAGTCTCAATAATTATTCCATATGTGGTATACGTTGCAGATTTTAGCTCGTTTAACCGAAATGCTTGTTATTGCTGTGGGAATAGCACCAAAACACACCTTTGGAGGGGGGCTTTACTTGAGAGATGATGAATATTAAAAAATGAAGTTTATTAGTCGAATAGTCTGTATAATTACTTTTGGCTTACTATAGATAACTTGATATAGACTGGGTTCCCACAGATTTAGATCGATTCATCTGGATCGAACTAACTCCCTGGGGGTTCACGCTAGATTGCTGTCAGCTTCCGGGAACCGAGCGCGCACAAAAGTTAATTACCCCCTTACAGCTTTTTAGTAGGCGGGACAGACATTTAAGCCGATTAAGCTGACAGCAATCTAGTGAGACTCTCCAGGGGGATAGATCGATCTAAATATCTGTGGGAATGGTCTCCTAGATGAACTTTTGATGTATGGAAATTTCGTGGATGATTTAAGATTTAAACTGTCCACTAATGACAATGTAATCTTAGGCTTAACTGTGACAACTGTAGGTCATTTGAACGCTTTTGAAAAGAAAAAGAACGAAAAGGTTACATGTAAATTGTAACTCTCTAAAAAAACTTTGAAATAAGTCCATAAGTAACATTTTGTTGGCGGGAATGGAAATATATCTTTTTCATTTAAGGTTGAGATCAGAGCTGGAGGCAAAACAAGACCAAAAGCAAATGGTAAGTATAAAACCTTATACATGTCAGTATGACAATTACCTGGTTTCAACTGAAGTAACGTAGCATTCACAGAGAAATCTGGTCATAGACTTTCAGGTTTTATTAGAATTTTTTTTTTTTTCAATTTTAGACCATGAAACTATTACCCGAAGCATAATTTTTCTGAATATTGTTATGAGCATAAGAATATACTTCAGGTGATATCCCAGAGAGACACCCTCCAAGCCGAGTTAATGAAGGCCAATGATTTGAACACCAGGTGGCACACAGTAGCACAGCACGTGACCTCTCTCCTGAAGACACTGTCACAACAGCTGGAGGACATTTTTAGCGAAAACTCCACCTTGAGAGAAAAGTTGAACGGCGGAGTGAAAAACAGTTTTATTGAGTATGAATTTTGAAATGTAACACCCGGATTTAATCCATGCAGTGCTCAGCATTTAAGACTATGGATTAATTTTTGTGTCCTTGGAAGTAATGTTTTAGAGCGCTAGCTCCTAGGCTCTTCACTGGAAATACCCGTGACTAAAACTTTGATCGTTCCCTCCAGACTTTTCCAGTGTTGTCTTTTCTCATCTTTTACAAAGAGGCTTCAGATTTCACAATTGGCACTTATGTAAAGACCATATATGAAGTTCAGTGCAAGATAAGATGTGCATTACAGATAAATCGGGGTTTTATATATTCAGTATTGAAATAGTATGTGTAACAGACACTCCTTTTCTTTTAAGGGAGCAGGTGGAAGATTCTCTGGAACGTATAATTATGACGACAGAGGAAATTGAAGAATTACTAGAGGAAAACAAAGGAAATCCGGCAGAGTCTAATGATGGAGAAACGACTCCGGATAAACTGTCTTTAAGGTTTGGACGATCGGTTTATGCTATATTGTACCTTTTTCTAAAAAAAAAAAATTATGACACCCAAACAACGCCAGTCAAATGTATTTTTGTATGTTAAATGTATTTTTGATTACCTGAAAGTGTATGTGCCCGCAATGCTTCCATTACATTTTCTTCGATATTCAGGCGGAATGAGACTCAAAAACCAGCCATTACATCCAACGTCGCTGCTCCTCGTACACCTGCAGCACAGAGCATCGATGGTAGTGACAAACGGTTGTCTGCTACAGCTGTTTCTTCTGGTTGTGTCAAACCCACAAACTTAGATGAGAATCCGAATCGTGCTCATACAGTCTCCTCTCCTACAACGAAAGCTTGGCCGTCAGTCGTGGATTCATGCTGCCATAAAAGACAGTGTCATCCAGGAGAAACACTGCGTGCTTCATACGAAACAATATATTCTACTCGACCAAGGCAATTACCAAACTCGGCCCAAAGTGGTGCTTCGGCATTGGTCTCGCTGCACGCCCGTGGACTGACGTCTAGCAATGATTCTATTGCATCTAGCACCAAAGGGCAATGTATGTTTGAGAACACAATGAAAGCATTTGATCAGGTTCTATGTAGTTCTCTTGAGAGTTTTGCGACGCTTGATGGGATGGAGAAACCTCCTATTGGAAGGCTAGGCCCTAGTCCGCTGGCACTTCCAAAAGCATCAACACCGAGCCCTACAATGGCACGAAAATCTCCAGATAGCTCGTTTGCTAACTCGACGATGGAATCTAGTAGATCGACTGTATCTGAGCTGGCAAATGAATCTTCTCAGCTTGGAGATGACAGAAAGTTTAATGAAGTTCTAGGAGATGAAAAAGTGATGGAATCTTCAACCGTTGGTGTAAGTTCCAATGTCCAGAAAGAAATCAAAAGTGTAAGTGCAAATAACCACCATGCTAACCACACTGTTCAAAAAATACCTCAGACACAGGATAATTCGACAGGGAGTCTGTACAAGCTGTATGAAGAGAACTTACTCTATGAATCTGATGAAGGTCAATGGGACGAACAGAGCTCCTTTAACTTGGAATTGGGACCTGTTGTGTACGAGGAAAGTGCGATTGATGTGGTTCTCCAACACATTCCCACCTACTGCAATCGAACCAATGATTATGTGGAAAGTGTTGCATCCGTTCAAGGAGGCCCGAAAGATATGAACAGCAAACAATCGTACACAAACGACCATAAAGTACACGTGATCCATGAACATGGCCCTGAAAACAATTCCAATACTCAGACATCTCCGGAAGGTAACCTTGTCCATGTTGAAGATATTCAAATACACCTGCCAAATAATCAGCTAGCCGTTCATCAAAGATACGACAGAACAATCAGTGGCAATAGACTGCTTAAAGTAGTTGTCGATGAAGATAATAACAGAGCGAAAGCAATTGGTTCTCTAGAGGATGTGCGTGTCGTCACCCCTAAGACAATTAGCAGCGAATCTCTAAGCGCTTCCAAATCAGATCTCGTCTACTTACATAAGCTGGAAGGGAGAGGAAAACGTAAAACTGTTAAAAACCCATGCGCGATGGCCGAGACAGATCCTTATGAAAAATACGCATACACTGCCAACATGAATAATTCTGTGCATTGTAATAACAACAAGAAAAGAAATTCGAAAATTTTCAATTTCATAAGACCAAGAGACGACGACAAAAGGAATTCCTTTATTAAATCCGTGGAATTCTCGCCAGAAGAGTTCTTTGAAAGCTATGCTCGTTTTCCGGATAAATCGTTGAAAGCATCGAATTGCAATGATGTTGAACATAAGATTAGAAATGCCGATAAAACTAATGGAAACCATACCCAGCATAGCTCAATGAGCATGCAGCATGAAATGGACCAGGGTCAAGAAGCCCCTTGTGACAGGGCAAAAGTATATGTATACCGTGGTCAATCGGGGACAACTTCAAGCTGCGATAGTGAAAGTGAAACCGAGTTAAGACCCAAGCTCGACTTGTCTCACCTCTACTGTGCTGCAGAGTTAGCTTCCAGAAATTCAAAAGAAAGCAGCGGGACACTGTCTGCAGCAAGTGCAGATGAAGATGAGGGGAGATTTTCAAAGGTTTGTACTTGGAATTCGTAATTTAAAGAAATGCATTGTACATGTAGCGTTGCTCATTATATTTGTCGTTGAGAAGAAAAACCAAAGGAAATGTTCAAAGGAAGTTACATGAATAGTTTATTGATCAATTTCAACATACATATTATATCTTGAAAAACAGGACAGCATGACGTCATTAGCTCTCCCTGTTATGATATTAATCTTCTATTCTGCTATTGATAAGCAAAACATGTTTTCCGTTAGTTCCTGTTGCTGAAGAGTATTATTTATACACTGTTTTAAAGACATAAACAATCTTTTTGACAGGACGTGACAGGGCACCGACCGTCTGACAAGAATAGCTGGAACACTTGGTAAGAATCGAGCTTTGGCTTTCCTTATTTTACTGAAATCTTCTCACTTAATCAGTTGGCCACAGGAACCACAGGCATACTTGGCTGCGTGATGTCTGATAATTCGCAGATATACGCATTGATCATAAATTTGAAACCAGCACAAGCCACAGAACACATTTTGATCAATAACCAAACGCCCATGCTTAAAATGACACCAAAATGATCTTAACGCCCTCAGATAATTAACCGAAGTCCGCCGTTACCAGCGTTAACGAAGAATTCTGCGTTTGTGTATGTGTGTACATGTATGATAAATCATACTCCGTTTTTTTTCTTTATGTTACCTGTCATTTCTGACATCATATCAGTGATTAAGGGAAACGTTAATACCTGGAGGTCACCTTGGAAACAGCAACGATATGTTCATATCATAGAAACGACCATGCACTTAACCGATGTTGTAATGTTCTTTTTCAGGTGCGACTTGTCCTCAGAAGACAGCAGCTTCAACAAATGCAAAAATCAGTGGTCTAATCATATTGAAGGTTTTGTCATATAGACATTAACCACCGAGAGGAGCCGAACTTTAGAAGGAGGTCGATATTAGCTTACGTGTGCCCCGCAATCACCATGTGCACAGGTGTTTCTCGTGACAAAGGAAACCGCAGTCTAAACAGAGGCAGTCTATTACAAATCCCCCAGGGCGAAAAATAATTCCCCAATACGTCCGTTTTAAATGAAGACATTGGAAATATCTGAGTCAGCTGAATATTGATGTGCAGTATCTCCGTCCTACTGATTGGTAAAGAAAGAAATCCACGGGCACACAATAAAATTTATTTATTTATATTTTGATGTTGTTCGGAGTCGTTTTATCCAAAGTAAATTACCTCTGTGATTCTTATTTCTAGCGATTTTATGGCCCCTCGCCTTTAAAACGTACATATTTGTGGTTGATTTCCACACCAGTGTGTTAAATTCTCCAAAATATAATTTAAACCAGCACGACATGACATAATAGCACACAGTATGTTAATCAAAAGACGTGAATTTGTTTTTTTAGAGGGAAAACAGATATTAAACTGCGCTTTTTCGGAGCATCAGCTGAAGGTCCTACATGTATGCTTATGACTGCAATTGTAGTCTTATATGGTTGCAGTCATGACCGTTTTAACTTGGTCATATGTCAAGGTTTCTGGAAAAAAATATATCCCCATTGCGTAAAGCTGTGACCTTAATTTTCTAAGATGGTTTATGGTTGGATCCTGTCATCTAATATGCGCAGGTTGGAGTGTGTATTATATATAATGCGGAGTTCTCGAAATACAAGCTTTTGTGCTGCGTCGAATTAACCGCTCGTATCTCCCTTGTCTTAAAAAAAAACAATAACAGGAGTTTTGCATTTTGCAAAATAAGAAGCAACAAACACTACATTGGAATCAAAGTAAAGTCAATTTTTATTAAGCTTAATTTGACAAAGGAGGCAAGTTGACAGGTTCTCCACCTTTTGACATTTCAAAGTCAAAAACATTTTTTCTACTATTTTCTTTTTCAAATGAAAGTTCCGAAAATATTAATTTGACAAAGGAGGCAAGTTAACAGGCTCTCCACCTTCTGTCGTTTCAAAGTAAAAACATTTTTTCTACTGACCATTTTTTTTCAAAAGAAAGTTACGAAAACATTAGTAAGACAATGATCCAGATATCATATGTATTTTGATATGTTCAAGTTCTTTAGTATTAAATTTGTTCAAGTTTATTCGTAGGAGCTGATATTAAAGTATACGATGTTTCATGCTTATTTTGGCATCTTAATCGTTTCACGCACGACAAATATTTGAACACAATAAATAAACTAGAGATATGTAATAAGGTAAATTCCAAAGATCCTAAAAGTTCGTAAATTTATACGTGTACCATTTAAAGTGACAAAGTGTAGGATTTTAAATGCGCGTTAGGCACATAAACTGCCTTCTGTTGGGCTTATTTAAAGACAAATAATACTTTTGGTCAAATTTTAGCAAATAAATGCCATCGATTTATGTTGCCAAAAAATAACCAAATCTACCATCTTCTACAGTTTTAAATAACGCGGAATCTGGAAACCAGTGTGAAAAGTGAGCTCGAAGGGATGGCAGAATTCGAAAAACCATGAAAACCCAAATGTGACTTACACTGTAACAGCTTTTAGAATTTTCAACTTTGTTATGGGATGCTAGAGAGTGTTAGTGCAGGAGGATCAAAGGCAGGTATTTCGCGGGAAAATCCTACACCATGCACCGTTAAGAGAATTAACATGTTCAGTCCTCTGTCTCCGGTGTGCACGAGGCATCTTATTTATCAACAGCCGCTCTACCAACGGTTACCGGGTCTTTCCCCTTGTTCTGAGCTACGTTGCTTTCTGGTTCGTTGTTTCTTTTGTTTCCCTGGGCTGAGAAACCAGTATCCATGTCTTTGGGCACCTTAAACTCCACCTCAGGCTGTGCTCTTGACGAGAGCTCATTTACAAGTCGCCTGTTATATTCTGCTGCTATGGCATCCATCAGTCGGCCTGCAAATTGCAGCTGTTTTTTAACATTTGTAATTCAAGACTCAAGTTTATTATATTACTTAAAGGGATAAAAACTGTTCGCATGAGATTCATATTTCACAATAAATACATTGTAAACAACTCAGAAATATGAATTCTAGTTTACCATAAATACAGCAGTTATCGCAATTATTATAGAATCTGCACTTGACATATGACCACGTGGACCTTCATAGATGGCTATACATCAGTAATTATCTCTTTTAAGAGATTTATGAAAAAAAAACACCTTTAAGAAAAAAACATGGACTGAGTTTGAATGCGGTGTAACGAAACTGAGGTCCGTGTAACAGAGAGTCCGCCCTCCAATTTGTTATAATGGTTAGGGTTAGCATGTCATATGCGGGTCAAAATCTAGGGCGAGGCTTACCTGTACAAATTAATGGGAAGCCAACTGTCTATCAAGGAGGACTCTCTGTCACGTTACACCGCTGTAACAGGAATGGAAGTCCTAGGGATGGAAGTCCGGGCTCCTATATGGTTAGTATAGGTTAGGGTTAGTTGGAGTACAGCTCCTAGCGGACTTTCATTTCTGTTACAACGGAAAAATCGTAGTTTACCCCGAGAAAATTCAATTTTCGACCAAAACGACCAGTTGTTATCCTTTTAAAAAATGCACCAAAATATGGAACTATGACTTTTCCAGACTGCCGCATCCTCTGTGCAGTTGATTGTTACATATCTACATGTCTAAATGTAAAAAGATTTTGACTGGATTTAGAGAACATTGTCCAAATTCCAAGCACACAACACATGATCTTGTGTAGCTAAGAAAGTGCAAAATGACGTGTGTGTGGGGGGGGGGGAGGCTCGCTCATGAAGGCGAATTACATGACCGTATAAAAAGGCGTATTTCAAGCGCCAGCGAAGATGGGTATCTGGTAGAAGTGAAGACATGTATTATATTTGAAAGAGAGGCTGAAGAGCAATATGAAAGTTTGCAGTGGAAGACTAATTAATCAACTTTTCAAATAGATTACAAACGAAACTTCAAAGCTCTCGATTGGACAATTGTTTTTAAGTGAACGCTTGTAGGATATTACTTGAGAAAACTTTTGAGGAAAAGCCTTGGTGTACCATGGGTCACATGAAGAAGTAGTAAAAAATTAGGCCCAGCTTGCACTAAAGAATATTATCAAATAAGCTAATTGGCTATCGAAATGATGATACATTTGAATTAAAGAAACATAAGAAAAAATAACATACCCACCACCCCGGCAACTTCCAACTGTCCCTTCTGTCGAGCATTTTCTTCTTTTTGGCGCAAGTAGTGCATGAAGTCGTCGATACTTAATCTAGGAGCCGTTTTGCCTATAAATTGTAGCATCGTGGTTGACATTAAATACCAATATTTGTTAAAGTAAAGACAGATATACATGAACAATACATGTGCATAAAAGTACGTTTTATAATACTGCAACCAACAACAAGCGAGAAGAATAACTTTTTAAGTGGGTGTACGTTGCACAGGTAGAAATGGAAAACTTGAAAAAGACCATGCACAGATACTGGGAACAATTCGCATTCCATAGAACTAAAAAAAAAAAACAAAAATAATAAACGGCCAAGGGGATGAATTATAAGCCTGAAATGCTTTAATTAAAAAAATCAATTAAATTGTTTATTAGGTATGTATGAAAGGCCTCAGACCCATGATACTATGCTTATATACTTGTATGTACAGAAATACACATATAAAGATGTATTAAAAAACAAATCAACAGTTGATAAATTGCTATTCTGCTATTCCGTTTACACTATATGAAAGCATTACATGTTAAGAGTATTTTTCCTAAGGCGAGAAACCTAACCAATGCAAATATTCTACCATAACGCATTAATATAATAAACAAGTTTTTTTTTCTTTGGAGGGGTCCTCACGACTGATATTGTTTTCCAATTCTCGCTATAATTAGCCTGCGTGCGTGATATACTATTATGTTGTTTTCACAATGGTTGATGTCGAAACGTTTAAAACCAGACACAGAAGCCATACTTGCATAATACTAAATGGATATCAGTTACAAAACCCGCTTCACTCTGATATGAAAAAAATTACTATGTTGTACACAAGCTTTCGAGCTGATTATTTAAAATACCCTGAACTGCTCAAGACCGAAGACAACCGACAGTATGCCATGAATTTCTTGTGGTAGTATATGAATATAGAGCACCTGCATTAAAAAAAACCCTGTGAAGAAACGGAAAAGCTTAATTACCTTGTTTCATTCCCGCCGTCATCCAATCGTAGAGCAAAGCGTTGATGATATTGTCTGCAATCCCAAATGACTGAATGAACTTAGCAACACCCGCATTAGGGAACTCGGTAGGGAGTAGATCGGCAATTTTGAAAATGCGGTTTTCTGATACCGTGTCATTGGTCTGTGTTTGCTGATTTGGCCCTTGGGTCTCGGATGTTGGCTTAGCCGTAGACACTTCCTTCTTCACGTCAAGTTTAGACGCTTGGACCTTGACGGTAGAACCCTCGTTTTCTTTTGGGTGGCCTTGGTTAAGGGCTTTCACTTGACTTGTCTATTTTAAAAATAAATTTGTTAATCTATAAAATGTTTAAAGGGGAAGGAAAATCTTAGTGGGACTGACAAGAGAAATATATACATAAGTTCAATAAATTCATATAATGTGCCTTTGGGACAAAAGCTATAAAGTAGTTTGAATTGTAAACAGGAAGGCTGGGGGACTTCTGGTATAACTTCCCATATCAAAGGTCTAGAAAGATACGCTGTAGGCAAAACTAGAGAGACTTTCTTCTCTTTAGGGATTTTAAATCTAATACTGAAGCTAAGAGGCCATCGGTAATTGGTCACGTTACTGCTATCCTCCTTGCAGAAGTACACAATGTACGAAGGTATCCACCGTCGTGATGTTTAGCTTACCGCTTCCATAAGGAGGAGTCTCGCGCCAACTTCTGCCTCTTGAAAGAGCTTCTCCATCTCCATAGCAACATCAGCTTTGTAAAATGCCACCTCTTTGGGAGATATCTACAGAGAAATATGTGTCGAACGAAACGAATTAGGATTATAGTAGATTTAATATCTAATTATGAAAGAACAACACCCCTTCAAAACACCAATGTGGTGTGAAAACCGGAACCACACCAAATAAAGGAATAATCTGGGAACCATTTGACTATCATTTGATAGGGGGCACCTTTTCCATATTAAATGTCATGTCTGTAATTGCTTTTTGATGTAATGAAAAATAACAGATTAAAAAGTACCTCTTACAGTGTGTCAATGCAGTTTCCACCTTAGTCAAAAAAGTTAAAGGGATAATAACTCTTCGTATGAGATATATATTTCACAATAAAAACATTGTAAACAACTCATAGAAATAAAATATATTCTGTTTTACCACAAAAACGGCAGTTTTAGCAATTATTCTGATATCTGAACTTGTCATCAGGCCACTTGACCTCCATAGATGGCTATACTTTGTAATAATCTCTTAAGACATTAAGAGATTATTACCAAAAAAAAAACAAACTTTTTAGAAAAAAAAAACAGGGACTAACTTTGAATGTAGAAATGGATTCGTTAACCATTGGTAAGTATGGGAAAAGTGTTGTTTACTCCAAGAAAATTCATTTTTTTAGCCAAAATGAACAGTTATTATCCCTTTAATTTCATCTCTGCTCCTCGAACAAATATTCTAAAAAAGGTTTTGACGTTGTGAAGATATCGCTGACCTCAGGGGACATCATTAACGTTTCTTGTTAATATCAGCATATATGATCTACAGGTAAGGAATAATATCGGGAAAATGAGGAGAGCATTTATTGCTTATTGTTCGGAAGTGTCTCAAATAATATGCCAGGGTTATGTTGCGTTCATGAAAGAGGCATCTATGTTCAATATCCCTTTAAATTAACATCGTTAATGATTACAGGCAAGGAAATTCGACCTATCCCTGGATATAATGAGTCTTTACCATGTTATTTTTCAAAGTCGGTGTAACAAGGTGAAAACGTTTTTTAGTTTGTTGTTAAATAACTCGGCGTTCATATATATATGTTGTGAATACGTTCCAGAAGATTAAAAACTCAATTCATAAAAAAAACATTGCATGTGTATGATGCGCAATTAAAACATTATTAGTGTAGGTAGTCAAGTCTTAAGGTCGGTGTGAAACATGTTTATCATATCCTTGAGTAGATGCCATTCTCCTTAACCTTATATCCCCCTACATTAGCAAGTATTAAACAACCTACACTTACAATTATGACGTAAATACTCGGACCTTCATTTCCTTCATATTTATTTCTTTCTACAGTCACCACAATGCACGATTTATTCACCTTACTGTGTTTTATCTGGATTTTTTCTTGATTTGTGAAGAATAAATAAATAGATAAGTAAATAAATAAATAAACAGATGAAAAAAATCTGCCAACTAGCCTTGCCAACTAAAAATATCAACAAGCCCAAATCTTTCTGTGAAAAAACTATGCGATTGCTTTCCTTGATAAGACAACAGCAGATCGTATCTCAAATGACTCATTTACCAATTAACATGGACATCTTTCAAACCCAACTTTACCAGTTTTGTCTTTTCCAATTCGTCCATTGCGTCCAGAAAGCCAGTGAAGTCATGAGTGGAGAGGATTACAGCGGCCACCTGCTCAGGGCTGAAAAGACTGCGAAGGACGCTAACCCTCGTCTGGAATGTACAGATAGCCACATACTAGGCTTCGCTCTGCTCTGCACAAATACCGTGATTCCGTTTTAAAGCATACCCGTCAGGGGCGGATCCAGGATTATTTGAAGGGAGAGGGGTCCGTGGATGCGAAGCTGCTAAAGGGACCCGAAAATTTTTGGTATTTTAGAAGGCGAACGGTGACATTTTGGAGGTTTAGAATAATGATTCAGCTAGTCAAAATTCTAATTTCAAGAGGGGACCAGAAGTCGAAGGGGGGGGGGGTCAACCCCCCTGACCCCACCCCCTCTAAATCCGCCACTGCCCATATGCTTTAGCTGAGCAAGCAGCTTGTGTAAGATATACCATGTAGATTTACTTATTCTCAGTTTATTTATCTTTTTATACATATGTAATAATTTTATCTTAATTGCTGATGCACATGTACAACATTAACAAAACAAATGTATCATATAATTACCTACACCGGTACATGTATAGACATTATACTGTTATTATGTTTGTGCTGTCATGGGCTGACATTTTATACCAGTTTCTTAAACCAGCATTAAATTAGCAAACATGCGGTATTGTATCTCTATTACAACTAAAGACTCACTTGGACTTCAGTAGGCAATTTTGCATTCACTTTCCCCTTGATCAAAGATTTTTCGTGTCCATTAATCTGTCGGCTATGGTCCTCAAGATGACTGTTCACTGTACCCGACTTCAAATCTAAACAAGGCATATATAATTGTGTTTCAACGGAAAAAATGAAAAACAGAAATCTGAGATAAATATATCATTTAACTTCAAAGGTACAGGGGCGTAATTTGGCAGAAAATACTAATGGAACAGACTTTGACGACGCTTTCGACACTTTTTTCCCTTACGTCCAATGTCAGCTTCAACTTACCTTTTCACTCAAAACACTGGTATTCAAAGAAATTTTTCAAAACAATGATTTTTTGTCGTTATGATTAAAATTCAAGACTATAGGTTTTTTATTGAAAAATTATTTAACGTCCTATAATTGTTTATATCCTCCTTTAAATATTGCCTTTTGTAAGACAACTGATAGATCCTAATGGCGTATAACTAAATAAACTATACTTTATTACAACGCATGTTTTATCAAACACAGTGTTCGTCCTGTATGCCTTTACTAGCACGCAATGGTAATGTACATATGGTAAATAGATTTTGAAATGAATTAACACCTAAGTTTGGTGTTAATTTCAACGTGCTGTGTGAAACGCAAAGAATGCCTTAATCAACCAAACCTAACATTTGGTATGGTATAAGTGAGAAGGTGAAGCGGAAATGTTTTCAGCATTAACAACGACCAATACGTTGGTTTCTGAGTTACTTTGATCGTTTGTTATTTAACTGCTATTGCCAAAGTGCATTTGAAAGGATGAAAATTGTTTATATATATTAACCATTTGGTTTTAATATCAACGTTTTTGTTTGCTTTTCGGTAGTATTGAATTTGGTGGTCACGTTGGAATTTTCAGACATGGTTTTATCTAGAATTATTATCATTATCAATGACTGTGCCAAATTTTATGTTCATAAGTAAAATAATGATTCATTTACCATATTGCTGGAAAAACACATTGCTGGAAAAACATATGGTTCACATATGGCGGATCCAGGATCCGGCTAAGGAATATGATTTGGGGAACAAGGGGGTAATAAGGAGGGGACGTGGAAGAACCAGAAAATTTTCCCCTTGCTTATCTAGAGAAGTTGCCATCTTGGATCCGCCTATACCATTTGCTTCTAAATTAAGTTACCTGCTTCATTATTTACCAACTTCTGTATCTCAACCTCTTCTATTCCTTCTGCCTATATTTCAAAACAAGAACAGCTCTTAGATCGATTGCTTAGACCAAAAGGTTGTCTTTGTCACATATTGTTGTCACAAAGGTCGCAAAATTTAAGCAAGCGTGCCTCAAAGGATGTCCCACATATCACTTGCTTTGACATCACCAATCGTTTTCAGATATTTCTACTAACGACCTTAAACAAAATGTGTAGAACCCTGCAACAATTACTTTTCACAAACATGAAAGTACTTTCTAGATTAATAAATGACCAATAAGAAATAAAAAAATTTTAAAAAATTGTCTTACCTGCCCCTTACTTCCTTCAGCAGAAAGTCCTATGAAGAGAAATTTAGCATGAAGATTTTTCACGTAAATACTGTTTATTTGAGTTTCGTCATTACAGTAAATATAAAACATGTTCTTTATGAGTTTTTATGAGTTTTATAACATACGTTTTGAAAAAAATCAAAAGAACTCACCTGTTCTTGATACGTTGGAGTAAGGTGCTGCATGAATGATGACTGCAACAACCGCGAAATAAAGCAACCCAATACATACTTTTCCCGGCATTTTGCGAGAACCGTTATGTGCGACGTGAATATCTAGCTCTTGTGGTCAATGTTGAGAATGTCTCACACTTTACCACAAACGCCTATGTGTATCAACAACTAATCTGATGAGCTTTAGAATATCGAGCGTTAATATTGGTGTTCTACCGCGTAACACCAATTTAAGATCGCTTACGTCAGCCCAGATTTGTTGATACGATACGGATAATGTGTTGGCAACAAGAATTTGCAAAACAATTTTTTATAAGAAAGATTTTGATACACTACAAAAATTGTTATATTTCCACATTGCAAATGAAATCATTTTATCGTGTCTAATAACATAATTGTTTTATCAACTGAAACTGTCTAGCGTATATTAAAGGGATAATAACTCTTCGATTCGGCCAAAAAATGAATTTTCCTGGAGTAAACAACAATTTTCCCATACTTACCAATGGTTAATGAATCCATTTTTACATTCAAAGTTAGTCCCTGGTTTTTTTCTAAATAGTTTGTTTTTTTGTTAAAATCTCTTAAGAGATTTTAGCAGAGTATAGCCATCAATGGAGGTCACATGGTCTAAAGAAAAGCTCAGATATCAAAATAAAAGCTATAACTGCTGTTTTTGTGGTAAAACAGAATACATTATATTTCTATGAGTTATTCACAATGTTTTTATTGTGAAATATAGATTTCATATGAAGAGTTATTATCCCTTTAAGTCTATACATTCTAAAGGAATAAAGTGTTGAAAAAACTGGTTAAAACTTTCATATATATATACCCAAAATTCATTTTTTATCGATTTAAAAAAATTAGTACATTTTATTACTTTTTACACTGATTTAATACAGGTGTGATTCTAGTTTAAGATATGCCAGAGTGGTGGCGCTGCGATGCAGGAGGCTATTGAGTGACGTAAGCAGCATCAAAGCGTGTGAAGCCATTTTGGTTGATTCAGTTTCGGGTGCGGTTACTTCAACTCCAGGCTTACAACAAGTGTTTTCACACAAAAAGAGAAAAACCCTGAACATGGATATTCTTTATAAATAAATAAATAAAAACAAACACCACAGTTCTATCATTTATGTTTACAGTAAAGGTTAGGTAGCAAAGCAGATGACATATATCTATAGTTTTTCACACGCGCGGGACCTTTCAACCGACTTGGATTTCGTAACTCTAAAGCATCGCGAATTGCGATAGCGATATCACCTTTCATTTCGAGGCTATTATATGGGGTGAATAAATGCCAAGTTATGGAATAGAGACGCCTGCGCTCGGTCGCAATTCGCGATGCTTTCAAGTTACGGAGCCCTGTACGCGCTTCCTTCCGAATTACCTACAGGTGAAAGTAACCTAAGATATAAATAGTTTTTCACACCTGTGGAGTTTACCGCTGCCCACCAGGTAAGCCAGGCAAGTGGTCAAAATACAAAAAGATATCGGGTTGCTAGCAGCTCACACCCGTGCAACTTTTACCGGTAGGCCTACTTCCGTCTCACACGTGATCAGTGCAGTAGTACGTCGAGAAAAATTTTGAAACCAGTAACATTTAAATATTTTATTCGACAACATACTTCTGCTTTGGATTGATTTTGAGCTCAAGATTCCTCTTCCTTTCGGCGGCCGCACAGGGAACAAAGTCCCTGTGCACTTCGTCTGGACACGTCTCTTGTTGAAAGCGCTCTGGTCCCTGTTTCACAAAAAAAACTTAAGTCAGGTTCTCTGGCTAAGAATTTAATTACCAAGGTTACATGGCCACATGGGCACATCTCATCCTATCAGGTGCAGTGTTACAGCACTCTCATGGAGATCCTAGTCAGCTAAGCCAGGGAACTGACTTAAGTTTTTTTGTGAAACTGGGACCTGGCATTAAATGTCGCATTTTGGTCGAAAATGCGAACAGTCGAACATACTGGGAAAAGCATCATCTCTGAGTTTTCGCCTTGCTTTCCTACCATAGAATTCAGCTCGAAGGTCTAGGTTCTAGCGTGTTTCGTCAATTCGCTTGGATTTTTTTAAACTTCAAAGCATTGATCCAACTTTGACGTTTTGCTGTCTCCGAAGGTAGGGCAAAATATTGTATCTTTGATTATGGTACCAGGGTACAATATAAATTTGCGGCATGTTGTTTTTATGACATCTAGACTTTTGGTCAACTGCCCCTGCGTTATCATTTCAACAAACGCACACAGCAGTCCGTAGATCTAACGCACATGACGTCACTAGAAACTGACCAATCAGAATTTTATCATTTAAGTCCCCCCTTTTCTCACTATGAATTCAAAAAAAAACTTTTGTCGTCGATTTATAGTATATATACTGTTAATAAATCAGTTAACATTTTGTGTTTTATAGAAAGCAGTAAGTCTTTAAGGCATTTACCTCACTGCAACCAGGTATTTATATGGGTATTTGAAATGATTTTGATTTTTATATTGTTTTGTTTCCTGAACCATATATTGTATGAACAAATGATTCTTAAACTCATCCTTTCGCCAGCTAGATGATACCCCTCCTTGTTTCATATCCAAGTGTTTTTCACAGTTTGAAACCATCTTAATTCGAAAACCCTAGAAGTGCCAATGTCAAGAAACTTTTTTGTATGACATTCGCCACATGAGCCTAATAATCGCGGTGGTCGTCATTTCTTTTTTCGGTGCAACTGAGAGGGCAGAACTATATGATATTCTCACAGTCGTGCCGTCACCATACGCCCTCACAGAATATTAAAGTATTGGGGTATTCATTTACTTACGTCTTAATTACTGGAGCTTTTCCATATATTATTACCATTACGTAGAAAATAAGCCATTAGGTCAGACAAGGTAAGCCATTAAGTACGGTGGAAGTCATTTTAACACGATACCCAAATGGATATTTAAGATATTATTTTAAGTAAAAAACCGATAGGCAACATACTTATCTTTTTATTGAATATATAACCTATGACCAACTGGGGATATCCATTAGTTCGCGTACTTTCTGTTGCTCAAAAGGCTGTTATTCAACAACAAAAAAAGACAACGTATAAGCCTATTTATAGCCTCCCTATAATAGGGATAGGTTTAATGCAAACATTTGACACTGTTTGCACTGATAATTTATACCAGCAGTTTTCGTGCGAATAGGACTTTGAAAATCTGTAGAAGAAAATATCCAGAAAACGAACTGTGCTTATCAGCATTTCGATGTTTACCCGCTCAAGTAACATGGACAGCGAATTAAGATCACAAGTAAGTATTTATAAAACGTGCTTTTAAGACGCTCGCCATTATCTGTTTGCATACATTTTTGGACGAGTCCTCTTTTCAAACGGCGTAGTAAGTTCATGGAAAGTGACGATCAACTTCTTCGTCTGCGATAGGCCTACTTAACTTTCAAAAGCTCCTGAGCTTTTTCCAACAACCAACTTTACTGCAAAAATAGGCCGTTTGAGTGCTTCTGATTTCTCGCCATTTACTGGGTTTTTCTGACCTGTGTGTCGAGACTTTGTGCTATCTCACTGGACTCACGAAAGACAGCTAAAAACTTAAACTGGTTAAGTTGCGCTTCACAATAAAGCTTTAGGGCCGCTTACCCCGTTGTTGATGATACAGAGCAACACGTACAGGATTCAAACATTGCTGTTCGCACACGTGCATCGGTTGTATATATCTTTAAGTGTTTGTAGCAGTCAAGGTAAATGTCATCTGCCAAATTACAACCATGTGCATGTATGTGGTGGCTGTATTTCAGCAGGAATGGATAGAAGTGGCATAGCAATCATCTGCAAAAAGTTACATCAAACGAAGACGAGTGTCGGGTCATCTCGACCTGGAAGACCTCATTCCCCCTTCACAAATCAAGTACTCCCTGGTATAGCAAAATTATAAGCTATATGATATAAGCTAAGCATAAATATCACTGAAAGGCACATAATATGCATTAGAGTCACGCTTTATATTTCTGGTTATCCTAACACCTTTCTCTTAATCACAAAGATATACTATATCCATAACCGTAATTTTCTCAACCTTCTTGGATAGGGTGCACATTGGAAATAAAATGTCAATTGCTAAAGCTTCAAGAAAATTATTTCTTTTTTATTTCCAAAAAAAGTTCAAAGCGCTCCGTGTGCATTTAAAGCCTTAACGTGTTTTCTTTTCTATGTCATTACATACAGTGCCATGTTGACGTATATGTGATAGCGTACATGTACATCATTCAATATCGAGGAAGTGTCATGTTATCTAAAATCAATGTTTAATGTCACTCTCTGAGTAAAATACCACGGCCATTGACTCACCATTGGATACTAATCATAGGGCAATTCGGGATGAAGCAAAAATCTTATACGCCGTTCTATTGTGAAAAACAGGTGCTTGCTTCCTATATGTATCTTGCGAAATGCTCCATCCATGTAGTCTATTTTTGTCGTATTTTGACAGATTTCTGGATAGATAATGGCCATACTGGTGCCGTTAAGTAGCTGTAAGCATTAACGAACACTTCGTCAATTAAGTACAATTTATAGTTTGTATTGATCAACGGTATTCACTTGTATACCACATTTAAATGCCCACGCGAAATACAAGGAAAAAGGAGTGACTGAGCTAATATTTGATTTGCCGTAATGACAGACCAGTTCACAAACTCACATAGATAATGTTCATTAGACGGTTTCAAGTTTGTAGGATAGCCACGTGACCAGAGTCGGAACATAGATTATATTAATAAGAAGGTATAAGTATTTTGTAGAATAGCCCTGTGATCTCAAAGGGCCACCATCCTTCTGGGCATAGACACATAAAGGCGAACTGATTATCTGGAGGCTTTGTTGGCCCAGGCTTTTTAATACACTTTGCATAGGGATATTTCTGGTTAAGGGGCGATCCTTTGTCACTTGATTTCAAATTCCGTTCAACGGGTTTTCAGTAGGGTTTGCGTCTAGTGATGACGCAGGTGGATCCACCGGGGTGATGACTGGCTGGTGAAGCTACTCTTGGACTGCCCTAGTCCATGTTGTGTGGCATATACATCGTGGAAAATAAACGGATTATTGCTGTCTCAATAAATGATTTTTATCAATGCCAAAGGTGTTGGTTCAGTATATCAATGGTTGAGGCTTATTATATCAAGCGCCAGTTCACTATAAGATCCACTAATACAGTAGTAACCGATGCATCCCAAACCATTATTGAAGTGTTGAAAAATCAATTTTTTTTCTGGGAGATATAAAGTGACAGATGCTTTTGATTCTCTGTCCATTTACGTTGTTATGGGTGAATATGGACAAACGAAAAACACAAAATGAGTCAGTTTCGTTACATGGCTCATGCACTGGTTTTTGCCCGTCACGTCGCTCTTTTTACCGGTTTACCGTTGTGATGACTGGTTTCCTCCTGCCCACCCAACTGTAAAGTACTAAAGCATGTAATGGAGCCCTCTTCAGTTCATTTGCAGACAGGGTGCTGCGACTGCTGCATCGCCGTAATGCACGACTCAAACCTTCGCAGCCTGGACAGCAAAAAAATAAAAAATAAAATAATAATAATAATAATAATAATAATAATAATAATAAAATTTTTAAAAAATACGCCCGTTATCTCTGGCACTAATATTCTTCAGACTTAATATTCTTCTTACTTTATGGTTGCTTTTGGCCATCACCAGACGTCAGCACATTCTATATACAGCCTTTACAGTGCACATGAAAAAAACCCTCGTGACCTGTTATGTACGACAGATACGTCGCAAAAGGTTTTTTATACTACCTCCCCCCCCCCCATGTCAACAAGAACACTATTCGTACAAATGAAGCAGTGCTTATGTGATCCTATATACATGTAGGCCTACATGTGCATGAAAATACAGTATATGTCGCTCCTTGTAGAGACACATAAATTGCCAACGGAGTCAAGAATTGCTGTGTAATTAAGTTATTTATCAATATGACAATAATACTAGGTTAATTTTGGATCTCCTTGTGTTGGAATACGGTTGAAGCTGTGTCTTATTTCTTGCAGATTAAATGCTAGGTGTAATTTCCTTCGTTCAATTGCTGTAGAGGTTTACATCAGGTTGTCAAGGATATGTAGTGCTGTGATTATTAGGCAGTAAAATATTGCCTCTAAAGAGACATTTTCTTTCACGCCATGAAGCTTAGTTATATTTGTAGGAATACATGTGTGAGTGTAAAAGAAAGGGTTCAGAATGCGTTCATTAAAAGTGATAAGCCAAATGATAGACGTTGTATCCGTGTATATCTCAAAATACATGTATTTAATATTTTTTCAAGATTTCAAGCACAACACTAGCTGTCTATATGGAATAACATGTATTTTGAGATGATATTTCTATCCTTAAGTATCTATTATTTGACGCCCATTGTAGGCCTAGTTTTTTTCTATAAGATCGATTCCTTAAAACTGCATCACTTATTCCAGTCATCTTCTCAGAATTCCCAGTCAAACATCTATAATTGGCAGATTACCTTGAATGTCATTTGCAATGCAGTTCACTTTACCCCTGGACGTAACCTACACCTGGTTATGATCAACGTGACCATTGCCGTCTAAGACTCAGTTCCCATCCCTAGATCGATCTAACAGGATCGGTCCATCTCCACGGGGTCTCTCGCTAAATTGGTTTTAGCTCAAGTGGCTTAGATGTCTGGGACGCCTACTTAAGCTGCTAAACGAAAGTTAATTACCCCCTATGAGCTTCAGTAGGCGTGACAGACATCTAAGCCTCCCAAGTTAACTGCAAATTAGCAAGACACCCTTTGGAGATAGTTCGATCCAAAGATAGTACGATAGGGTCTGGGAATGGTCTCAAAAAACAACCATTTTGATTTTTAGCATCATTAATCATAATTCGCTATATATCCAGTGTGATATAAACAGGTCTGTCTCTGTAATGTTATCGACTCCTACTTTTTTCCGTCCATCTATCCAACAGAGTGAGATATCATGCGGTCACGTGCACAAAACGATCATTTGACCTTAGTTGTTATTTTTGTTGATAGAATTATGTTGAACTTCGGCCCTAGTTTGGCAACATGGAAAAAACCTGTGTGCTACCCCCAAGATGCAGCATCACTACACAATTAAGATACTAAATTTCTGTTTAGCGGAAGTTTTGTCTTAAATTGCCGTTTAAACAAATTCTTTTCATGAACTTCACTTCCTACTTAAAGGCCGTACATGTATATTTGAAATGAACGACTTGCCTCAATAGCAAACAATACAAAAATCTCTTATAAAATATCCCAGAGAAAGCCCCAATTACTCAATTTAGACAAAGCATTAACTTCTCATCAGATCATTGCAAATTATATCAGAAATGCATTAAAAGTGATTTGAAGAATATGTGAAGACCAGTTTCGATTGGCACTCAAAATTGTTATCAGAAAATGTTCATTAAGTATGCAAAGGTAATATGAAAGACTGTGCAATATGTTAATGAAGCGCCATTTTACCAGAGATTCGAATGTGAACCATAAGGATCTTTCAAACAACTATTTCCAGCTTTCTTTTAAAATATCTAATTGGATTTTGTTGGCATAGTGAAGATCAATAGTAACGGGGTATTAAAATGGAAAAACTCGAACACTTTGATTGTGAAATATTTTATTGTTTTCCAAAATTTTACTTTTCATAAAGAGTTTTTTAATCCAAATTCAAATGTTATCGCTCTGCTCATCTAGTGGCTCCTAGAGAAAAAAGGAACTATTTCTGTATTTATTTTATGCACTTTTTTGCGAATTTAAACTTCATGGGTTAATTTGTTTTTGTAATAGAATTTTGCTGCTTATGACCAATACAACTCGATCTAAAACTTTTCTAAATATATCTGTTACCTGCTGATAAATCAATCAAAAGATTTTTGGGTTAACATTTAAAATATCAGCCACTTCAGTTTAATGAAAGCAAAATTCACTGATCAACACACACATACACGCTGACGCGCAGTCCATATTTAAATGTGTGCGAAAGAAAGAAAAAGAGAGACAAAACAAAAGGATACCAAGGGGGATTAATATAGTAAATATGCATTGACTGGATAGAGACTGCAGCAGTCTTGAAAAGGGTCATTTTCCGAGGTACTGCTGAGCACATAATAATGCCGGAGTGACAGGTATGGTAGTCCGCTAGGAGCCATAGACCATTCCCCATTACTTTGTACAGGTGACATTCGTCACATATACTAGCCCCAATGCTCCGACTAAACCTAACTTGTACTAATCATATACGACTACCATTCCAGTCACACCGACTTGAACTTGTATCTTTGTATTGCATGAAACAGGGTTATATTAAAAACTATGCCGTCAAAATTTTTACTTGCCAGAGGTTAATTTATGAAATAGTGTTTGATGCAATTTTGTCAAGTTTTAATGGCTAGGTCCAAAAAACTTGTATTTTAAGTATGCTGCGTTTATCTATCCATACGATGTATGTAGACATCCTGCTTTGACTAACAAAAAAAGTGATCTTATTTGCAAAAATACAAATACGTCGTAAAATTACCAACGTAACTAAAATTTTAACTGAATGATATTTTTCAACCAAAAAATACCACCAAAATTGTGATAAAAATCGATAAGGGGTTATGCAAACCTCTCATATACAAAGGGGGACATTGTTCTCGTTACTTATTTTCTGTAACGTTTGAAACATTAAGTGTTGTTGCCTATATCAAACCGAGAAAGAAGTAGTTTTCGGTGTAATTACGCCCGAGGAATCAGAACTCCATTGGTCTCAGAAAGATTACCGTAGTACTTGAGATTTGCTTGCCAGGAATCGTTCGTTTCTGCTTTTACAATTTGATATAAGCAACACTATTCAGTTTACAGCCTGCCTTTTCTCTCCCACGTTAAAACCAACAAAAATGGCGGGCTATTAGCAGCATATTCAGCCCATGCCGATTTAATTACTCCAGAAAAGCTTCTGACTTGTAGTATCAATATCGTTGATGGCAATATCAACCGATATCGATACTTCGATTTAGGATCAAATGCACAAAGCCTTTGCCATAACCGACATCATTTCCTTGTTGTCCCACGTGAACGGGACGTGACTTCCGCCACACAGCATGGTACGCTGCTGCTATTGTATACATATGAGTCTCTGAAAACCATCCTTTTAGGCAATATGTCCGATCAATCATCTCGTGTATTCATTGCCATGGTGTCTGAAAAACGAATTTTCATCAGTATTTGTAGCAGTAGATGGGTATTCTACTTAAGTGCCCCACAATAAATATAACATGATATTTATCATGCAAGTCGACTGCATGTTGGTCTTCATAACATTGATGGATTGCATCAACTTCTGATCTTTGGGTGTACATAAAATATGAAATGCTTTCAAGCCGTTCTAGATCTCAAACGGACAGATAATTTTAAATAGTAACATCTTCCTTTTTATACATAATATGTTTGGATACATGCTTCAGAATGTCATGTTTATGACAATCCAATAGTGACCATCACAAACATAAGATTCGGCTTTATCTGCATATAACGGCCAGCGTAATCTGCCAAAGCTGCAAAATATCCGAAATTTAAGTACTTCCCAATTTTACACATTTTCTATATACATCTTTTTCTAACGTCTCTAATAAACTTAATAAGTGCTTACGGCCTTAATCAACATTGTAGCTTTGGTGCAAAACTAATCAGGCTGACTATATATAACATATAGAATCTATCTACCACAAAAATAGCACAATAATGTGTAGAAAGCGAACCGCCGGGAGAGTGGAATAAGTGTATACAGTAATTAGATATAGACGTTAACACTGTATTGATGTAATGTGAACTAGCCTGCAGTCACCCAGTAATCCCACGTGTCACGAAAAACTTGCTAAATATCATGATTGTAAGTGTTGGTCCATCACCCTGAATTTCAGCGACTATTTTGTACTTCGAAGCACCCCCAAACCACCATTACCCATAGTTGTAGAGAGCGAACAAGGACGCCATTCAAAGAAGTTCTCAGTAGACTCTGTTATTCAGGGTGTGGTTCATTTGCCATAGAATTATTGCTTGCTCTTATGAATTCCAAACATAGAATTAATCTACTTTCTGTGATGGAAACACTGAGGCTTTCTTTCTGGTAATCTATACAGCGTAGGTTGACCTAAAGTAGGCGGGATTATACACCGCGCAGTATTGAAAAGCAATTTAATAATGATCCCGATTGTTTCGATATATTTTTTATATAATAACGCAACAAAAAGCCGTGGGTCTGACTAAAGAACATTTACCCCGGTCCCATTGTAATTAGAGGAGTCGCGTTAATGCATACTCCCACGTTGGTATAGTATTTTAAATATGACTTATTGTCCCTCAAGTCGATAAGGCGCCTGGTAATCTTGGGAAGTCAAAAGCTGTCAGAATTCACAGGTATGTGGCAGTAGGTACATCCAGTCTTATGCATGCATGATTCGAATAACCTGTTTACACAAATAGGCGTTCTCGTGTTGCTCAGGGAAGAAAACGGGTGCACCGAGTCTAACGATCGATAAGTAGAGTGGGCACATATTGCGCTGCTCCTCTAAGGGGTCATCTCCTTATTCCTTCTTGTTATGAGGTTCTGTGTCTGAAATAAACAGACTTGAAATAAATTACAAAGAATCTAGGAAAGGGGTTATTACCTCTGTCAAGGAGGTTATATATTTGGTCCCGTTTGTCTATCCGTTTGTCTGTTTTTCTGTCCATTCGTCTGTCCCTTTGTCTGTTTTCCTGTCCGTTTGTCTGTTTTCCTTTCTGTTCGTCTGTCAGCCAGTTTGTCCGTCCGTTTGTTTGTGTGTCAGTTTCTCTGTTCGCATGTCCGTTTGTCTTTCAGTTTGTCTGTCTGTCCGTTAGCAACATTATGCAAATGTTCATGTAGTAAACAGATTTTGATAAAATTTTCAGAAACTGTCAAGTAAGAAACGATTAAATTTTGGTTAATTAAAAAAAAATAATCAATCAATTTTGTAACTAAAAAAGGAAATTGAACTTATCGGTTAGTTAATTAATAAATAACTGAAAAAGATAATGATTGACCTGCCTTGGTGGAGGTCTGAAATTGACGAGAGTGAACATAACGCTATCTTTACATCCTGTATCAATCATGTATCCAAACTGATGTAAAACTCGTCATACAAGAACGTTCTTATTTAGATTTACTGGGTATTTCTTGCATACGTTTCTTATCTGTTGTCTTCTTCATTGCATCTTGGTTTGCCTTGTTGCCATTGACTTGTTTACTTTCTTTTTGAGCTTTCACTTTGGTGTCTGATCCCCCTTCCTCCGCTTCTGGTAGAGGCACCCCCTCTTTATACTCAGAAACCAACGCATCAGTCAGCAGTTCTGCCGGACACGAAAATAAAAGTTTCAGTGAGCGATTATTTAAGCTCTATAGAACGACTATATCCGTACACGCTGGAAATATATTTATATAATCTTCATATCTTATTCTTTTAGGCATAATTTTCCAATATTTTTCCCATGCTAATCTTAGTACTCTTCCCCTCACTCGTTCTATTAAGATATAATAACAAAGACTGTACAAGCACGACCAAAATGTACCCAAATATTTTCATAAATTCAAATAAAACTGCCTTACGGCCTTACCCATGACCCTTGCCACGTCATCTTTATGACGTTGTCTAGCTGACTGCGTTTCGGCTTGTAAATATTGCAAAAAGTCGTCAAAAGACAGCACCGGGTTCTTTTCACCTAAGTAACAAAACAGATAACGCTTTCAAATACAGTCTCATGTTGTTCGCGTGGTTTGCTTACAGCTATATGAAAGGATATAAAATGATTATCTGATAAGTTCAAGGAAATGAAAGCATGATGAAAAGAGAATAACAGACGACAAATGCGAGTGACTTCCTCTGTCTCTGAAAGCAGAGCCATATACTCCTACCAGTTGGGTAAAGAATAGTTCTGTTGGCGCCATTACCTCTCCTTATCTTTCCTGTCAGCCAGTCATAGAGGAGAGCGTTGATGATCTGGTCTTCCAGTGCATAATCATTCATCAGTCTCTGCGCAATTTCATTAGGAACCAAGGAAGGAGGGACTTTGCCAATTTTGGTTCCCAGCTGTCCGCCATCGTTACCGTCTGTGGAAGTGTCATCAGTGCTGACTTCCTCCTGTTTAATATCTGTGGTTGGCTTGGTCGGTAGAGGCTTGCCGTCTTTCTTATCTTGATCTGGCACAGTGGGATACATTTCGGCTAATGCTTGATGCTTTGGTGGTCTCGGAGTTCTGGCTTGGGATCTACCGAACTGCAGACAAATTTCGCAAAATTAGGTTTGATGCATTTACATAAGTAGGCAAGATCGGACTGCATTAGGCTTAAATTTTTAAAAAATCAATCCTAACAGTTTTATAGTTTTATATGTACTTACCGAAGGCCAGAAAGCCAATTTCATGTAATTTTCCTCGTCCTGTAGTGCTTTAACGTATTCCCACGCAACACGCTCTTTGTACAGCTCAACTTCCTTAGGGCTCATCTAAAAGAGCAAAAAGCAAAATTCACCACATTGAAGGTTTACTACAATGTTGATTTTTTTACATACAACAGAACATTCCAAAAAATAGCAAAATTAATTGCACATAGAAAAAAAAAACATTTCCATGGGTGCTAGTTTAGTATATTAGAAACTGCAATTGGCGCTCCATGATTACCGACTCAAGTAATCCATGACATTTCGGAATTTGGTTTCGGAATTTGGTTCAATTTGTCCAAGGATTCAGATTTGGTCATAAATATCTTGACATGTTATCTGCCTGTTTACGTTATTTTATGTGTTTCAGGTAGGTCTACATTTATATGCTCACTTTGTTTTATAATTTAATCTTGCCACCCTGATGTTTAAATGTTTTTTTAACATTTAAAAATCTGAAAACTACATCAATTATGACGAAACGACATATTCACGTTCAACTCAATGTAACCCGAATTTCCATATGTTTATAAATACACATCTATAGCGACCTTAGAAAATCTAAGTTTTTTTATGTATGTTTATATTCACATTTTCTTTGAAACAGTGGTTTCATTATCATGATAAAATCTTACAATTATAGCAGCAAACGTTTTTCTCAATGTTCCCAAATGTACACCAAGGTGTTGCGTTTTTTTTTTTTTTTTTTTTTTTTTTTTTTTTTTTTTGCTTTTTGTTTTTTTAATAGGAAATGTATCAAGGTGAGACACACACGAGAAGGACATCAATACGATTTTCCACCCGCACACTTGTCCGATTAACAATGCTTGTGCAGCACTCGACAATCGCGGCCTGCGTCACGCTTGAAAGTCTATGCAGCATCCTGGAGGAAAATGCACACTCATGCCATTTCAATTATGAAGTAGAATCATGCAGGATGAAGATGGCGTTATTGCATTCTTGCCTATAAGTGCGTCAGTAATGATCTTTAGCTATGAGTAGTATTCCTGTTTTTCATACAGAAACGCCCAGTTCATCTGTTTCAATATCTGCTGGTCTATTGATTTTAAGAATGAAACGCCTGATAAAGTACAGTCTAGAACATTTACCTAAGGATTTCAGCGCCATTAAGGATTACACACCAAATTAAGCTGATTCCGCTCTTTGGATAAACGACCCGATTGATGGAATCTTAACCTTTCGGTCTTATAGAACAGTCAATCAGAGAAGTAATTTCAGCATCTTAATGTGTTTCCTCTTCAAATAGCAAGCTCTTAGAACAAGTTTCTAACCTAATCGAGGATGGCTGAAACCTGTCAACACAATTCAATAAAAACTTGTGGGTATTCAGAATATGCGTCATTTCCTCTCCTGAACAGTGTCAATTTTACCTGGAACCTACATGGCAAGAAAACATTATAACGAAATAAACTTAACTAATGACGTACAATAGCACATTTCATTAAGTCAGTTTTGACTATATCCAAAAAGGAGCATGCAAAGGGTCCACAGATAAAATAGACCTTCATATATACATATCCGAAAGAAACTCAAAACCTTCCCTAAAATACACATCTTATGTACAATGTTCTTGAATGAACGGGCCATGCAAACTTTAAAGATATGTATCGAAAATTAATTTTGAAATTGTAGCCAACAATTAGTCTACATTTTCTCTCATACTCCGTATTCAACTCTTTGGATAAAGAGCTTTTCCTTTCTATATCTGGCCATAAGTTTTCTTTGAAGATGGAATTATGAAATATCCTTTATTTATGTGTTAACGCGAATGAAGAAATACACCAAATGTACCGCATTTTATTATACCGCATTTAAATATTAAGTCCAAGTGACTATCCTGCTTAAGAAAATCCAATCTTGTAATTTACGATGTATTTGATATTCACAGTTGGTTGAATAATTCAACGCATAGCCACATAATACTGCTGTAAACAATACTTCGTCTATGTTAACTTTGAGGGCATTCAGATCTGCAAATATGGCTAACCAACATTAAAGCAAAACCGACTAATCCGCTGATGGTCTCCCCGCCTCCACACGTGCCGTCCTTGCAGGGGTCTAGCAATTAAACTTCGGAGCCGTGATTCAATCCCTTTAATGGTGGGTACGGAGGCGGGGAGACGATCAGCGGATTAGTCAGCTGTTCTTTTATGTCGGATTGGGTATGTTCAGTCTACGGATCAGTAAGTCCGCGGATCATCTGTTCTAAATACACTCTCTGAGTATTGGATATCTGCGGGTATCACCCTCATTGCTTAATTATATTTAAGTTTATCGACAAAAATTTGAGCAAAAATTCCTACTAAAGTAAATTCCAATAATATTTAACAATGCATGAAAACTTTCCTCTGAGCTTCAGGCCTGTTTCGTGACAGTTTCTTCATTTTCATATGTCAAATGAGGTAAGCGGGTATATATAAAAATGAGAATAAGAAAACTGATCCGCGTCCTCTCTAAATATAATCTGGACAATTTATGTTATTGTACTTGCTCCCATGGTTTCTGACGTCATATAGGCCTACTTACTAATATTTCGTCTAATTTTTATATACAGGCTCTTATTCACAGCCAGCTAGAAAAAGGGTAAACAAACAGCATGTTTCGAATCAATGATAGCAATGCTAGATTCTCTCAGGTAAGAAATGAAAAAATAAAATGTCACTCAGCGAGTTTGTGCAATTTGGACATTTATAATTCCCATTTTATCAAGCTTACCACGGAAGCATTCTGAAGATCCTCCAAAGCTGCAAAGAACCCTTCGAAGTCCTGTGTGCCCAGAAGAAATTCTGCGACAGCTCGTGGACTAAAATCAACGTACGTGGACGGAGAAAGCTGAAGTAAAATTAAAAAGATAAAAATGTTCAAATGAATGAAGTATATTTAGGATTGAACAACCCCACAAAAATACTTTTCAGCACAGTAAGGATAGAATAGGACGTTATGCATGAATTATCTACCTGGCGACGCAAAAGTTAGGCCAATAGCCCTGCCCTAAATTGAAAGACACCATAAGCATACAATTACATTAATATCGCCATTAATCAAACCATATGTTATCTATCAACACTTTGCACAGTTTTTTAAAAATATATAGATCTTCGGAAAGCGTATCCGATTGCTTGACTATAACCAGATGATGTATCAGTGCCGTTCTATTTACTTTTTTAGTAGCAGTTCTCTAGTGATCCTATACCAATGCAAAACCAATAACTCTATGAACTCGTATTACAGCTGATGTACTTATTAGAAAAGCATGCTGTGTCTGATATGGTGTCTAGGGAGTGATAAGCCTATTTTGTTCACTGTATTGTGTGATGAAGAGGAGATTTACTGAGTGCATATTGGTATAGTCAAATGCTGAAACAAACCTGATAAGTCTCCAGTATATCTTTGCTTTTGCCCTTGGATTTAACTTTCTTTGTCTTGTCCACTGGATCTGAAACATACCAATAACACAACATAATGCTCTTTGTATATTTGATGTACATGTACGTCGAGAAAAAAGAATAATGACGATGATAATGCGGTAACCTGTCTTACATCCTGTACGTAGCTGAAGCGGCATCCGGTATTGAGCGCTAAAGTTCTGTGCTCTCGGAGCCGTTCTCCTATAATTAGTCGTCACAAACAATAAGTGTTAGTGTCCGATACCTAAAAGGACAGACATTGAGGGCTTAATTCCTCCATGAAAAAGAAGAATATATCTCCTTTGAGATTAATGAGAAACAATTTAAACTATGTAAATAGGTTTAGTGTCAAAAAGCTGTTAATGAAGCGATCACCTAAGAAACTCAGAAATACCTCATAAATACACATCTTTAAGATTTTTTTCTTACTCTTCCCTTCAGCAAAGTGGATGGTTAATCACATTTTATCGCGTAAAAGAAGAGCAGGAGCGTTCACTTCGTTATTCTTAATGGATTCAATGTTTCTTCGGGAAATAAGATTACATAGCTATCTTCAAAAACGTGAAAAAAATTCAATTCAACAGAAATTCCACGTACGGTCATTTACCTATATGTGCTTAGATTTGCACCCGTGATACATATTCATTTGGGATAATCCCTTATGTATACATATAACCTCAAGTGATAGCAATATTCGATAAAAAAAAGCTCTGTGATACACCTACGCATAGGCCTATTGATATACAGAATATATGTGTATCTGTTTCCTCACGCAAAGTTTATGTTTGTTTTGAGTATGTTTGTTCCAGGAAACAAACTGGTAATTATCGGTTTAAAAACGGTATCTTTGAGAGGGCTTCTAGGCTTTTACGTGCAAATCTACGATCACAGGAATTCTCAGTAACACACAAAACACTGATTTCATTGTCCATAACATCTGTGCCAATGAAAAAAACATCGAAAAAGAGTGGCAGCATAATAATTTGCATATCAACAACAAAATGGACCATTCATTTCAATAATTCGCTTGGACATTGAACTGAAAAAAAATTCCTTTTTTCGAATTTTTAGTGAAGTAGAAAATTCATCATTAAAATAAACATTTTTATCTTTCAAGAGACAGGGATGAAAATTAGATAAAATGTAATGCGTATTTGAAAGAACAAATCATTTCCTTAAACTTGGAACCAACAAGTTGGCAGTCATTAAAAAAGAGCCCACGTTGGTGATTATGGACATATTCTTTTCTAATAAAGCTAATGAAATATCTCTTCATTTCTCAGTCCATACATTTCACTGCTAGAACAAATAAGTTCACTTGTTTGCTATCATTACATTGCGAAAAAATAACAAATTTTCCGAGTATGCCATGTCTATCATTATGCAGGAAAGCCAAACAAATACTATTTTAGACAACGCTAGACTGATTTTGAACAATCAGAAATGTGATTTAAAATTCAGGTCAGGTTGAGCAATGTCCGATAAGTCCAGCTCAAAGGGAAAACACTGTCGTTACTTACCAGCCTGGTGAGTTAGCTTAGCTTTAGGAAGCTTTTTTAATTCAGTTTCCTCCAAACTTCCAGACTGGAACGAAAACAAGATTAAAGTGAAAAAACACAGTAATTCAATTCGGGAACCTTTGAAATAATTTTGTTTGACGTTTACGCCTCTCATCTTCACATATGAAAAGGCTTACTTTGAATACATATAGATTTTCAGCTTTCCAAGAGCCAAATTGAGCAACAGCGGACTAATGCATTTTAAAAAATATTTATATATATATATACAATATGTGTCATCTTCACATATGAAAAGGCTTACTTTGAATACGTATAGATTTTCAGCTTTCCAAAAGCCAAATTGAGCAACAACGGACTAATGCATTTTACAAAATATTTATATATATATATACAATATATGTCAAAGTTATAAAATTGTCGAGTGTGCCAAAAAAAGAAGAGAAGACTGAACACCGAATCCACTGAATTGATTGGCTTACCGGCAGAGGCGGGTTTCTGTTGTGTTGTTCAGAGACAAATTTGTCTGAAAAAGGAGACAAACACATATACAATGATACCCTATAATGCCATTAGTGATTGATGGAAGCATTTCGTGCCATGTAGAGACACATATTAATGTGGTGCCAGAAAAGCACATTTTGTGATTGTTCTACGTAAATTATGAAGCTAATGTTTCCCAGCCTCCACTTTTACTGCTTATAAATCCCCTTCGTGAATAGGAAGAAAAATGGCCAGAAACCAACAGCAAAAGTCAAACATTGAGCAAATAGTTGATGAGAAACCCTTATGATTTCTTTTTTTGCTTGATGAGATATGCTTTTTTCTCTTTGTTGGTTTCTCTTGTTTTTAAAATGGCAAATCTCCCCTATTTGTTTGGTTTCCTGGAATACCAATTATTGAAATGGGTCGGTATCTTGTCCCACGAATGTCAGTTTGAATAAGATGTATTGGTGATTGTAACTTTATAAACCAACGGGAAGCTATGTAGTGGAGGACTAAGATCTGCCGTAAAGGTTTTCAAAATATTTATCAGTATTAACAATAATACAACAAGTGAATATTGGAAAGATCGAACATAAGAAACACACTATATGGTAAAAACGGTATCAGGACAACCCCCCCCCCCCCCCCGGACAATGCCCCTACCCTTGGACGATACTCCCCCAAAGGAATACATATTTATATACAAAAATAAATTACAGAGTAAAAAGTTGAAATCTTTTCATCCATTATATGACTTTTTCTTTGTGTAATGATGCAACTCAAGGATAGAGGATGTTAATTTCAATAAACAAATTATTTTCATGGTGTACAAGTACAGAAATTTCAGAAATAAGAGTACAGAAGATTTTATGAAAAATCTAATCAAAGAAAATCTCCAGGTGAAGTGAGGTAAACAGATGACCTCACACATCCAGGTAACCCTTCGATGAATTAACTGTTACTTTTAATTGCTTCATTATTCCCCCTTGATTAAGTAAGCCTTGAATCAAGGTGGATCTCTCGGGAGTGGTGGGGTAAACAGATTTTCTCACTTATACGGGTATCCCTTTGATTATCTGTCTCTATTAATTGCTTGACTACTATCCACCTACCCACTAAAAATATTCATAAAAAATGTTTACTTGTACATCTGTTTAACCCACCTTTACCGGGAGAATAGGTGGTTATACTTCGACTAATTTTGTAATGATACTTTCTCTACTTGTACTCAATGAGAAAGGAATTTGTTATAAAATAATTTGTTTGATGATGAAGTTGTATTTTCACACTAAAACATAAATAAAATGGATGAAATGTTTTGAACTTTATACTCCTTACTTTATATTTCTATATAAATATATATTCCTTTTGGGGGGGGTCCTCCGGGGAGGATTGTCCTGGGTGGGGGGAATTGTCCGGGGATATTGTCCGGGGGAAGTTGTCCTAGAATCGGTAAAAACGCATACATGGCAAAACGACTTCCGTATGTTCAAACAATCTGTTTATGTGTTAGAGTAAAGTAAGACTGACAAGCAAATGGCCAACGGCTGGGACAAAGAATTAAGGAATTAAACAAAACGTTAGTATTTCCTAAGTAAGAGAAGACTTTCGCGTGATCGGATCTGTTTTGTTGACGATCGTCTTGACGCCAACTGCGCAACGCTGGATTGGCAGTACATTTTCCATACAGCTCTCTTTTCGCACAATTATTAACCCTCACGGTAAACGTTATTACTATTTGCGACGCCTGGTTTTGTTATTTGCACTACTTGAGATAACCCTAGTGTTTTAATAAAGCAGTAAGTGTTTCGACAAAGCCTTTGAAAAAAAGGCATCTCAGGGAAAAAGCATGGGGTTCATCCACATGTCAATCGGAAGCCTATTGGCAGGGAGCGACTTTAAAGATATTGTACATGTAGGCGAATTATGGGTTCAAAATACTCCATGGAAAAAACAAATACAAAATGTTAACTTCATCTCTCCTACTCATTCAAGCTATTTTTTTCTGGATGAGTACTTCTACACAAAAACAAGCATAGCATTCTCTGGTAATTGCGTGCCGCCGTGACTGTTTCTGTATCTAGATGTTTTACGTCTGTTCACAGCTGATGTTTGACTAAATGTAAATATTCAATAAATTCAAAGAGGGTTAAATACGAAAGTCGCAATATTTTGGAACAAGCGACTTGATTAAGTCCTTTGGAAATGATTTATGTAAAATATTCGAATCTACATGTGGAAAGAAATAATTCAGTTGGACAATCATGTATGTGGTCTTTTGACTGTTTTCATATAAACACTTTCCTCTTCAAATTGTATTATCACTATTGTTGTTGTTGTAATTCTTGTCACTATCTTTTCTTAATATTTAAGAAAAATATTTACGTTCAAAGTTTTTGCCTTTCCCAGGCTCATTGGCCTTATCTCAGAGACAGCTTGTGGTTCGTAGAAAGCCCTGCCTATATTGATCGCAACGGCAATTTTGCGACAAACAGAGACAACACAGAGGGTTGATTTATCAGCATAAACAATTTGATGAATGTTTATATCAGTAGTAGGCTAACTATGTGACCAGATGATTGTCAATCTGTCAGAGATAATATACCTAATGTTCTGATTGAAAGCGTTCCTGGGTATCCCATTACCGGCGCATAACGACTTCATCACTTCTCACACATGAAGGTTAACATGGACACTTGGAAAAATAGGAAATCTACGTAGCAAGCTTAGATTAATGTCTTGCTCTGCTATCTTGGCGAAAAACCAAACAACACCAAGGATATATCTTTTTTCCTGGTTAGTGAAGCAGTTAAAATCATGTATTAGTCAGGTGTACCATTATTGTAGGCTATATATGGTAGTTATCTGTAACTCTGTTTGGCACATTTGTAAGCCTCTACATGTATGGCTTAGCTGCTTATCATTCTGTTTAAGGAGGCTCTCTCATATTAGCTTGAGTACTCTTTTACGACAGCGACTCATGATTAAAATATATAAAAAAACATAAAATAATCATGCAATAAAACATGTAATTCATCATTTAATGAAAGCTTTGTTGTTATTTTGATCGAAGCGTTACGAATTTGTCAACAAAACGTTGCGCTTAGCAAAGTACGCTGGGTGACGCTTGGACTTTTACAATGTAACGTACCCTCTTACGGCTGGCAAACAAGCTGGATTACAGCCCCCCCCCCCCCACACACACACACACACACACACACCTTTTTTTCATATACTTAACTCATACGGAGAGTACATTTTGTCTTGCATTTTTTATCAAAATTGCTAGGGTGGAAGTCGTGTATCTGAAATATGAAAGAACCTCCTATATATTACTATTTAGGTAAACGCAATACGCAGGACATAATCTAAGCACTGGGAAAATATGGCAGTATTAAGTCCAAGAGAGACAATTTTATTATTGGGCTGTCTGGCCATTGAGGAAACCTACGTCCCCATCCTAAAAAAAAAGTAGGGGTTGCGCAGCTCGCTCTCAATTTAAGCTGACTTTCGAACAGGAATCTTCAACTAAGTTCCCATACATAGAACGATCTCACAAGATCGATCCATCTTCAAGGGGTTTCTTGCTAAATTGGTTTCAACTTAAGCGGCTTAGATGTCTGGCACGCCTACTGAAGCTGCTAAACCATAATTTATTACAGCCTAGTAGCTTCAGTATTTTTATATAGCTTTCATATTTCAGTAGGCGTGACAGACATCTAAGCCATTTAAGTTGATTGCTATTTAGCGAGAATCCCGTTGGAGATAGATCGATCCACAGTTAGTACAATAGGTTCTGGGAATGGTCCCTTCTTTTTTACTTAAAAAATTACTGCCATTTGTGGCCCCTTTCCCTCCATCTTTGCTATAACTTTAATTATATCATAAACTTGTAAATGATTTACCATACATGATTATCATTCACAGATTTATATTTATCCGTCAGTATTCTTTAATTTATACTTTGTGTATTAATCAAAGTACAAATGTCAATAAAGTCACATTTTCAACTAACAACTATTTAATTTTGTTGTAATTTAAAAACCCAAAATTTTCTTAGAAAATCCACTTTGGCGGGCAAATCCCGTGTAGAGTACCATCAATATGAATCGAATGTAACTAAATTTTGTATAACATGGTATATGGTTTGGTTTTCCTTTAACACCGTCCACTGCAACCAATATTCCTCCATAAACAGTTAATACACATTGCATGCCATGTGAGCATGGGCACGCCATAAATGTAGAAATTCACCCATTTCAAAAGGAAATTGCCATGGCTTCATGCTGATGACGATATTTTGCACCTCATCATTTTCATTCGCATCTTACAGTACGGTTAGGAATTCTCCCACGTGCTGTCGCCTGAGGTAACAAATGGCTCGATCTGGGATTTTATCATCAAAGGTAACTATCCAGCATTTTCCTGCCAAATCGAATATTCCCCCTTTACTTACGAATTATTGCTGAACTATGCCCTGCACTTGAATTCGGTGTTTTATATAATTTCAAATAACATAATTTAATTCTAAATGACTAACCATGTTCCTGTACATAATGCTTTTAATTCCTTGCACACGCATGCACACGCACGCACACGCATCTTATACCTTGCCCGACTCATCACTGTGGACTTTATACTCGCAGAATCCATATCACACGGTTTAATTGCTTCGTGGCCGTTTTAAGGACGTTCGAGTTCGCTTCGAGTTCGTTCAGATATCCCATTAAAATCACATTAAGAAGGAAACACAAGGGAAAATGCATCAAAACATAGGGAACAAAAATATGTTGATCAAATATATTACTACACGCCACAAAATCTTTAAATTTAAGATACGTATACACATAACCAGCAAATATCAATTTAATGCAATCTCATTTACTGTTAAATTATCCAAACTATAATACAACTTACTACAGTACAATTTGCTGATTTTTTTCTTCATTCAAAATTTATTGGATATTCAGCTTTTTTCTTTTATGTAAGTTGTCATGGCAAACGTAGCTTCAGTCTAATAAGGAAGACTTGTGCATGTCATTCTGACAAAATCACCCGTAAGCTGCACAGTGTAATTGCTATTTACTGATGTCATCCCTACCGGGAACTTTATCTGATCTCGAACTTGCTGCACCTGCCTCTTCTTTAATTACCTAACATAAGCGGATGGATTGGAATACAGCATTCAAAAGAACCATTTATATGACTGACAAAACATGGATCTCTTTATCTTAAAGGGGCCATAAAAAGCAATCTAGAATGTAAGTCAACCGTCTTAACTTAGTGATTTAATTAGATAATTAAATCACCCAGTAAAGGAGCTTGGTTAACAAAGTCAATCAAATGGTAACAACATGAAATGTCAAAATAGAAATCAATAGTGTGCTGGGCGAGAGATTGGTTTATGACGCAGAACAACAGATATAACAGTTATTAGTTATTGAGTTACAAGTGTTACGACGTAAAGTGTCCTTTTTTTAATTTCGGGGGCGGACGGCAGCCGTCTTCTAGGTCTTCCGGAAGACGGTCCCAATTTTTCAAGTTTACACTGATTGGCACCTAATTCTTTCTGTCGGAAGATGGTCACAAGTGGAGATGGATCAACAAAGATCATTTGGAAGACTGTCATAAAATATCTCTGGATCGCTCTTGAGGTTTCAGGGATGGTTACAAACCTGTTCTATATCATTTTAACCTTTGTTATTATTATCTTTTTTCTTTTATTATCAACATTGCGTCTTTTTTTTTTTTTTTTTTTTTTTTTTTTTGTTATCGTATAGTAGTAGTGCAGTTAGTTTATGGTATTTCCTCATTTAGACGTAAATAAGTTAACGGAAGGCGATCGTGAAATTTACGTCTAGACTAAAGCATGTCTTTGCTTTAAAATAAAACCCAGGTGTCACGTTAAGTGTTCATGCAACAAAGAAAAGATGTACAGATGTACAAAGAAGTGCAGTTTCAGTAGGCGTGACATGCCCTACACTTGTTTTACAATATCGTGATGCATCTATGGAAAAAACATGTAAAATGCCACCTACTGTAAGTTGAGGAACAGACTTGTCTTTCGGGCATGCTAATGTAAAATTGGAGGCTCATACTCAATCTCCACACGAAAAACTATAAACGACACCGTTATAGTAGTACACTCTAAAAACACACTCACACAAATGTAATGAAGACTATAAATCCAAGAGAGAACCATCCTTGACATATGGACGATAAGTTCTATTCTCTTCCAGATATCTAAAAGCAATACTTTGCCCGTGGCAAAAATTGCTTTTATAAAATTAATTTCCATTTTACTCGGAATAGGTATAATGTATCCAAGAACACCTGCTTGTTTCACAAATGCAGGCCTGTACCATGAGTTAAAGCATCATTTCCTTGCATCACTGTTGAAAAACATTCTGGAATCGATGCCTTCTTTGCATAAGAGACGCGTTAGCCTACCAGCTGAGATACGATAAAAAGAACACAGGAAGAGAAGTCAGCCTGGGAATGTGGGATTGCTCTTTCAAACATGCTGTAATGTAATAATGATCACTGATGGATTTGTTTAAAAAATGTATCGTTGACATGTCTTCAATATTTTAGCAGCTATCTTAGTTTTTTTTTTCACTAAAATTCATTTGCGTTATGAGGATTATTTCAGTTCCTCTGACGTTCCTTTGAAAACGTATTCGGTTGCTTAAAAATTAGTGAAGATCATGCTATCGATGAAAATACCGAATAGATAGTTTTTAGAGAATCTATCGTGCAGAGACACGTGCCGGGTGATACAGTGACTTGTATTCCTTAGAAATGCGCGGCTCTGTGACGCTTGTGTTCACTTAAATGGCAGCATAACGTTGAAAGTTAGCATACCCCTCATTCGTCGTGCGTGAAATGCTTAACGAATACGCTGGAGAATTCTTTTCTATAGAGATGGGGTATAAATAATTGTTCATAAAATCAGATTTATAAACCTGCAAGAAATGTGATTAAATCTTCTTTTTCCACTTACATATCACCTGCTTCGATTTGCCCATCATTATATAAATCATCTAATCATAATTGGATATACACAACATATTGTCTGAGCTAATTGTATCAACTTCAGTGCAGTCCCACGCAGGCTACGATCAAGATATCTTAGTGCCAACAAATTTGATTTGTACATGGCCTATTTCCAATGCAAAATGCGTTTTCAGAAATAAAAAAAGATCAGAAGGTCAGATATCATTTCATCGAAGAGACATGTCAGCCTGTTCTGAGGGGAGAGTAAGAAGAAAAAGAAAAAAAATTGTCAAGTGTTTATTTGTTGAATATTTTGTAGAATTTTTTTTTCTTTTTTTTTTTTTTGTGGTAGAGATTGCTTGATCAAACAAGTTATTCACAAGGGTATGAGTTTTAAATTTTATATTATTAAAATTCTCTCACTTGAAAAAATTGTCCTTGCTGGTGGTGTCCAAAATATCACAGAACAAATGCCTAGTAAATATTTGACAAAACTTATGACTGAGCGTGTGTGGTCGATCAAGGCAGGGCGTTGAAACTCTATTTTAAATCCGAATGCCCATGCCCCCTGCTAGAAATAAACCTCCTTCCCTTGGGCATCATATAGCATAGCCCCAAAATCTTTAAATCGCTGTGTTATATGTATTATCTTATTGTTTTTCGTCTAGAAATTTTCTTGAAAATTAAATTGGGTTCTCTACATACATGCATGTGGTTCGCCCACGATGAGATCGACGCACCACATCGAAATTCATGTTATTAGCAATAAGGAAAACCAACAAAGCCATTACTCAACTTATGTTCCATAATTATATTAACTACTGCGACCGAATGGTTTCTCATCAGCACGGAATGGTTATAACAGCACGTTGGGTTACATATACTCGAAATAAGGACGTCAGAAAAAAAAACCTTTCAGATTGGAGTCCGTATTCGACACCAATACGTATGAACAACGCGATCTGTATTAATGTGAATCAAAGCAAATATGGGTAATGTGAACCAAATCGAATATCCAAACATGAGTCACTGTCTAGAGCAGTTAGACAAAAACATCATGAAAATGAAAAAAAAAATGAAAAACTAAAAGTATAAGCAAAGACAACGTGCTCAAAAATTACATTTGCATTTATAAAATTTACGTTATGTTTCTATGGAATTTCGAAGGTTGAACGATAAATGAATTGCCTCGACTGGAAAAAATATCTACTTCGCATTATCATATGATCTCAAAGCACTGAAATACGCAAGGATTATATTTTCATTTTTTAAATCAAGTCAGTGGTGTTCGGGTTCTACCTACCTTTATGTTTATTCTCCTTTTCGTTCACGGGTGCACAATACACGAGAGAGAACGCAACGGCAAATGTTCCAAGAGCTTCCAAAAACGTAGCCACCTGCATTTTGCACGAACAATAACGCGGGAACAGTATAGTATTATTTGTTATTTGCACTTCACAGCGCTTTCAGGAAAAGAGAAATATGACAGTCTCTACCTTAGAGCTTTGTTATGTTTTCTACCCTTTGTGTTTGGCACACCGAATAGACCACTTCGATCTGAAAACTAAGTTGCTCTGTGTTCGCTCTCCAAATGATAGCGAATATTCAAAACTTCTGCATTCGGTTCTCAACTGGTGTGCGACTCCAACAAGCTGTTTCCAATAAATGACCGTGAATCCAGGGAAATGCAGATAGAGACTTCAATAATGGTAATGGGGTTCCAAAGCTATTAATTATCTTCTCGACGTTTACGCAGGTCTCCAATCAGCGTATAGGATCCCTGATCAGACGATCAATAAAAGGCTCTCCTTGCAGATATCGCGCTTTCGCACAGCCAAGTAGTCAAAGTGACCCTTGGTGAGATTAAAGAACACTTAGGAGGAGGATATTGCTAAAACATCGTCATTACGTGTATAATGATATATTAAGACAAGTATCGCCATGCACAAGCGGGCTATACTGGCATGTTGCTCTGTTACAAAAGGGTCGATAAATCCGGTAATGTCAAAAAGCATAGACAGAAAGCATGACTACCAATTACAGAAAGGGGGTGGTGGTGATTTTGCATATTAACATTTTATGTCGATTTAAGTGTGGGCTTTTGTATTTTCAAAATTACCAGAAATATACTTATTTGAAACGGATCGCAGGCAACAACAGGTTATAATTTAACATGAGTACATAAAGGTCATAAAGATGGTGCCATAATTTAAAACGAGAAAAAAAATAATATCGGCTTTAATATCACCTGTCAATCAAATATTTTCCTTTCAAAGGTGCCCTCCTTCATAACAGGCTCTCGTTTTTTTCTCCAGGAGGCATTTATGTCTGGGCATGTATGAATTACTGTACTGGGAAAAAGTTCTAAGTTCGTTCGTGGGTATGATGATAATCGAGTATGTTCGTGAGACCTCTCAGCTCATTTTTCCCCCGGAGATTGTTCCGGAAGCTTGGAAACTCGATTACACAGAAGTAAGTGATGACTGCTTAAGTTCTGTCAGAAGTAAATTGAAAGATATCGCCAACTGAAATTGAAGCCAAAGAAATTACGGAGCCTGTCATGAAGGAAAACCAAGAGACATTAGATCTGTAATAAGTAAATGGTCAAACTGTATATGACAATCGCAATTTTTCAGGTTCCAATGGGTTTCATACCCGAATCAACGAGTATGTGTGGTTTTGATGAAAAAATTAACACACACGTGCATCAGGTAATATTCTACCAAATTATTGTAAAAAAGAACATCAATGAATAAGTCCGAATTTGTTTTCTAAGAAAGGTTCTCGTGTCAGTGATGTTGTTGTTTTGATGACTTACCGAGCCTACGCGCAATATCCAAATAAATCAATAAGAGAAAGCGTGTTTGAACAACAACAACGACAGGAAGACTGTGTTATGCAACCCGAACCACATAGTCATGCTTTCTGGTGTATTTACTGAACGTCGATTATCTTATCTGCATATAAGCTATTGTGTTAGCTGTGTGAGAACAACGTGGGAATTATAGATTTACCAATAAAACAGTATCAATAGTGGACTGAACTCGAAAGACTCACATATGGACCATAGTGATAGATATAAATAAGAATGTGAAGATACTCAAATAATAATAATAATAATAATAATAATAATAATAATTCTAATTATTTATTTATTTTAAGTCTAAAATCCATAAAATATTCAGTAGACCCTACATCTTAAACAATTTATGAAAGCTTTTTGTAAAATGATTATGAGATATGCATGTTTATGAAATTAGAGTTTGACTACAATAACAGTAATTAGAATTAAAAAATCCAAGATTTCGCCATAAGATGCAATTTCTAATATATACAATGTCATTAATAAACATCTTAAATATGTGTGTTTTTTCGCTCCTTAAATGATATCTGCCAGTGAATCATTTGTCTTAGGTGAATAGGCAGGTTATTCTACTCCACCGCTGCAGCTATGCAAAATGCTGGATCACCATGTTTAACCTAGCTTTGGGAGTTTTCAGTTAAAGTTTGTCACCAGCTGACCCTAGAGTTCTTTGTGACGTTTAATCAGATCACTTATATATTTTGGAGCTAGATTATAAAATGCAGCACGTGTAAAAAACTCAATTCTAGCCCGACCTCGTAACCAGTGCAGCTGCTTTAAAATTGGAGTAATGTGGTAATCTTTAGGCTATAACATTACAAACCGTTTCAAAATATATTCTGAATTGTATTTTTTTAATCTTATCATGTGGACATCCATAGAGTACAGGGTTGCAGTTATCCAGCTTAGAAGAGACTAATGCATGTATAACAGCAGCAGCAGATGATAAATTCAGATGCTTTCCTAAAGTGCCCATATTCCGAGTGTTGAATAATATTAACAGGACTTGGTAATGTTGGAGATCTATCTATCTCCCCATTGATTGTGTAGAATCAAACTATAGCCTACTTTTAATTTTTACATGGGGAGAGTTTATTTGCCACACTAGCACCTATTTACAGCTGGTGGTTCTGTACAAGACCCTTGTTATGCGGCTGAGTACGGCTGAGTAATAACATAAAAACCGATTTTGCCGGCAAAGAGGCCATTACTGACTAACGGATTGACTTGACTTTGCCAATTTGACTTGACGGATTCAGCCGAATTGGCATACTAATTAACCGGCCAGCTGTCTTTGCCGACTTAACTAATTGACTGATTAATTTGACTGACTTAGCTGACTACCTGACTTGTCAATTAAAAGACTGGCTGGATCCCAATGTAGGCCTATTATATAGAGTGAATAGGCCTATATAATTCTTTGATCTATTGGCCAGAGTTTTGACACGTTTGGGTCAAAATTTAATTTTGATAGTTATGTTTCATTTAAGTGGTAATTCTATCACCTAACAGTTGAATTAACGATTGCCAACCTTCTCATTTCTTTCCATCATTCCATGCATACAGTCCAAGTATAGTTAGGTTTTTTTTTTTTTCAAATTTAAAGACAACGTTACTTTGGTTTTCAACCATCAAAGGGTATTTTTTGTCAAAAAGGTAAAGCCGGTTTGCTATAGTAATTATAAGTAGGCCTATCAGAGTCAATTGAGAAATCACCTACTTCACCAACAGTGTCGCATCAAAAGCTTTAAGTGAACAATATAGATTTCAAAATTAACCGAAATCTTTGACTGATTAGCAATATTGGCCTACCTATCCCAAACATGGTAGCCTACGTTGAAAAAATTGAAACTTCATAATTTGTAAAATCGGTAAGTAAATGAATAAGAATCGAAATTCAAGGCATGCACAAAAATGTAAAGGCTATAGTAGATAAATTAAACAAAATTAGAAAATGCAGCCTTTTCTAAAATTACGATATAAAAAATATTCTGGTGTTTCGGAGAGCAAACAGTGCCCTTTGATACGGTTTAGAACAATGATTTAGCTAGTTAAAACTATAATTTGAAGAGAGGAATACAACTGGTGTGATATATTTTTCAGAAAGTGAAGGGGGGGGGGGGTCAGGACCCCCCTGACCCCCCTCTAAATCCGCCACTGTGATATAGGAGTCACTGTGGGGTGTAGCTGAGACTGATATTCAGGCACATGCAACACGCTGACTAAAGGAAGAGAATGACTTCCTGGACTTTGAAAAGGAAAAGGTAACAATTTTTAAAGATTCACCCCCTAAAATAAATAAATAAAAATAAATAATAATAATAATTATAATAATAATAATAATAATAATTGATAAATTCAATCCGTCACTAATTATGACCTCTATATTTTCTATATAGACCTATTTATGCATTGAGATTAATATTAAACATAGGATTTTGATGCAAGTGAAGATTTCAGTCTATTATGGAATTAGAAATTTTACTTCAAAGATGCGCAGAGCAATAAATAAAAACGATTCGTAGTTCGTCTGCTTGTCTCGTGAACAGGTGCCTTTGACCCATATCCGTTAAATTTCAACCAATAAGATAAAGCCAGGTGAATGTCAGTTTGACCTAATTTACCGCAGTCTGTACAGAACCGACGCATTTACTTATCTAATACGATAGACTAAATACCAAATTCCAGGATTTCTTTAACAAACATTGAAAACCTACAGTGCTAATTGTCGCATATTTTGTAAGATAACTGCAAGCCAGTTACAAAGGTGTTACAGGGCACTTCCGCTGTCAGATGACACGTGGTACAACACTCTAAGATGGCTGTGGGCATGGATGTTGTTTTGGCCGGCTGCACTCTCATATTCGCTGTTTATTCGGTAACTGCAGAACTACCACGTAAAAAATTTGAATATAAGCTCAGTTTAAAGGGGCCGCATCTTATACAGAGTGATGGGTCAATTCCTTTTTGGACGCACGGTGGAAGTAAGTATTTTGAGCTAAAGGCCGGCTGGACCCTATGGCATATGTTAGATGTTAATCAGTTGCATACGTGGATAGTGATGTTGCTTGTTTTTACGACAGAATTTGACCTCTTGTGTAAGGTTTTATTCGAGACAAATGTTCGCCCCGTCTCTAAGTGTGTTTGCTGGTCAGTTTTGCAATTTAACTTGAACTTTAAGTTAAAAAAGGGATATGTGATAGTAGGTGCTGAGCTAGCTGAACAAAATGACTGTGGTATAACCAGGCTTAGTTAGCTGGCAGTACAGTATATTGTAATTTCTTTTTATTGCTGTGGTGCATCTATAAATCTTAGATTTAATTTATAGAAGAGGTGTAGCTGTGATAAGTATAATCAAAGTCCAAAAAATATTATTTATTTCGATATTTTCATTTCCTTGTACTAGTATGTACATTTAGACACAGGAAGGGGGGGGGGTATTATCATTAAAATTTTAATAGCTTTTTTCTAAAGGTCCAATGTAAACTTCATCATATGCATTTACCTAAAGTGCAATGTCCAGATTCATTTTTTGCTCAGAACATTTTTGAAATTTTGACTGTACATCTGTCAACAGTCCCCTAGCTTGTGTGATCTCAAAACTACTGTGTTACAGTTTTCAGGCTGAAAAAATGTTTTTCTTATGAAGAAATGCATANTGGGACCCTATGGCATATGTTAGATGTTAATCAGTTGCATACGTGGATAGTGATGTTGCTTGTTTTTACGACAGAATTTGACCTCTTGTGTAAGGTTTTATTCGAGACAAATGTTCGCCCCGTCTCTAAGTGTGTTTGCTGGTCAGTTTTGCAATTTAACTTGAACTTTAAGTTAAAAAAGGGATATGTGATAGTAGGTGCTGAGCTAGCTGAACAAAATGACTGTGGTATAACCAGGCTTAGTTAGCTGGCAGTACAGTATATTGTAATTTCTTTTTATTGCTGTGGTGCATCTATAAATCTTAGATTTAATTTATAGAAGAGGTGTAGCTGTGATAAGTATAATCAAAGTCCAAAAAATATTATTTATTTCGATATTTTCATTTCCTTGTACTAGTATGTACATTTAGACACAGGAAGGGGGGGGGGTATTATCATTAAAATTTTAATAGCTTTTTTCTAAAGGTCCAATGTAAACTTCATCATATGCATTTACCTAAAGTGCAATGTCCAGATTCATTTTTTGCTCAGAACATTTTTGAAATTTTGACTGTACATCTGTCAACAGTCCCCTAGCTTGTGTGATCTCAAAACTACTGTGTTACAGTTTTCAGGCTGAAAAAATGTTTTTCTTATGAAGAAATGCATAGCTGTACTTCTATTTTAAATCCCAATTCTGTATTATGGTGTGTATTGGGTTTTACTTACACTTAAATAATTTTCAAATAGCCGATTATCCCTAACTTCTCAGGTTGCGTATGTGCCTTTTTTAGCCTTTAAAGTAAAATAATTTTAGTATGTAACATTCTTTAAAAATAAAAGCTTATGCAAAGCTGGTTCTTTTTTTACATTTTAGATGCAATTGCTAGTGACCAGTCTATAAGAGTAACTCCATCTCTTCGAAGTCAAAAAGGTAAAGTATTACATCTATCAGCATACACTTTATTACTGTAGACTCTGATGACATGGAGGAAATCATCTTGATATCAGTAGACAAGTTTGTAAGGTCTTTTATAAAAAGCAGTCTTTTAGTGTATGAGATTTTTATTTAATTTTTCTATCAACCCTTAACAATAAAAGTGGTAGGAAGGATGCTGAAATTTCCTTGTTGAAGAACAAAAGATTACAGAAAAAAAAGAGAAACAGATGAGTGATATTATTGAATTTTTTAGTCTAAAAAGGCTCTCTCCTTAAACAGGTTTACCACAGAAAGGCCCAGGCCTGTAAAACTGTGCGTCTTTATCTGGTTGTTAGCAATCAGGCTGTACAATCAAATAGCCAGCCCATCGTTTGAATGAGAACAACTAATGAACTGCTCTGAACAACTGTTCACATATTGGAAATCAATACCCATGTGGCACTAATGTACCTGTTATTTAATCTGTACACCTGGATAACCTTTTTCTCTGTGTTGTTTGTGTAGGGTGGGTGTGGTCTAAGAATACCAACCCCCATGAGCATTGGGAGGTTGAGGCTACCTTCAGGATATCGGGCAGAGGAAGAGTTGGAGCTGATGGACTGGTAAGAAGACATGAAAAAACCATAGTAGAATCTACAGAGCTGTAGTGTTTGAACTGCAGTTATGATTTGCCATGATATTCTCTACTGAATGATTTACAGAACAGATCTGTGTATTTTATGGATTAATATTGTGTCTGAGGTACTAGCCGCTAAAGGGTAAATGAAAAATGTGTTGAGTGAAATGATGTGGCACAGCTTGAGTGTGCTCCAGAACGTCAAAAATTTTCAATGTCATAGCATTAATAATTCCTAATTTAAATAAATGTTCCTTTGCACATGCTTACCTCTCTGGTCACAATTAGAAAGATATATTTCTATAAATATTTACATTTAATTTATATTTAAATCTGATATCGGTTATGCAGCTGATAGGGCTTATGCTAATTGTGCACCCTACAGAACTTTGTAAAGAATGCACACAAAAAGCACTGGAGGATCCAGGATTTTGCTGAGGAGGGCACAAATATAAAAAATTGGCTTGCTTCATTGGCATATATAAAGTAGTAGACAGGGACCATTTTTTCTGTAGTATCTAGGGCACTGGGTTTGAAAAATTGTTTTGTTTTATCACATTACCTTTGTTATACTGTTAACTAAATGGGGGTGGGGGAGGGGGTTTGTGGTCCACTTGGCTCTCCCACTTAAATCTGTCATTGAGTGGGACTATGTAATATATTGATATGGTATTACTTCAGGCCATATGGTATACCACACAACAAGGAATGGATGGACCAGTGTTTGGTGGAAAAGACCAGTGGAATGGTCTCGGAGTATTCTTTGACTCATTTGATAATGATGGCCAAGTAAGTAGGAAACTTTTTAATATATGTTTAATGGTAAACCAGAGGTGAATTGTTTGTTTGGTGAAGTATGTATCTTGGTTTTTTCTTTTTTAAAGATAGTAAAAGAGTAATTTGAAATTGTTTCTAGAGGTTTAATGAATGGTGAAATGGCATGTCTCATAATAAAAAGTAAAGTCTCTTTAAATACAGCTGACTCTTTTAACTGTTGTTGTTTGTTAATTTATACGGTGAATATCATTATATTTCCAGCTTCTGTAGAATAGACAGTCTTAAATGTCAGTTGGTAATTAATACTGCATTATTCGAAGGATATATTCCAATGATCTTTAAGAAAAATGTTGCTACATATACTTAATTCATGATGTTCAAATGCTTTTTTTATTTGCAGCACAACAACCCCTATGTTATGGTGATGTTGAATGATGGCACTAAACAATACGATCATAATAGGTAACTTTTTATTTACTGTTAATCCTCAGATCAGGTGATCAAAGGTGTTACAATCACTTTTATCTCGGTTGCCTTACCTTGATTCACAATTCCACGTAGTATTTTTTTTTTATTCATTGTAATGACACATATACAGGAAATGGTTTTTATAGTTAAATTAATTCTGGCTGATTTTCCTGATCTCACTCAGAAGGGAAAAAAAGAGATACGAATGAAACTATTTAAAAGAAATATGCGAAGTGCACAGAGTTGCAACTTGCAAGTTTTGGTTAAACTAAGGATTTGTTCAGCAACTCTTGTGTGCAGTTACAGTTCTTGCCATACTGCAATAAAATTATTTTTTTTAAATCCTTATTTTTAAATTTTATTTTTTGACAGTCTATGTCAAGTTGACACCCTGACTGGAATGACACATGCACAAAGTGACTGAATTATTGTGATAAATTCATTACTCTAAAATAAGTTTGTGGTTGTGACATTTACAGGGCTGTGCATCTTTTTGTATGATTTGGTACTAATTGTATGATTCAAGGGTCACCATAGTGCAAAATATTTAATTAAGATGCATTTTAGTATATTCTTTTTCCCTATTTCAGTGATGGTCAGCACCAGCAACTAGGAGGCTGCCTCAGGGATTTTAGAAACAAACCTTTCCCTGTAAAAGCTAAAATTGAATACTACAAGAATGCCCTTACAGTAAGTTATCTTCTTTGTACTTACATAAAATTTTCAAGCACGACACCTTCTTTTACTTTTGCACTTTTTGAAGTTATCATATTCGTTTGCTTAAAGTCATAATATCTCTTCGTTTTGGCCCAAAATACGATTTCCTGGAAAAAACGGCAATTTTCCCGTACTTACCAATGGTCAACGACCCCATTCCTGCATTCAAAGTTAATCCAGGGTTATTTTCCTAAAAGTACGGTTTTTTGTTAAAATCTCTTAAGAGATTTTAACTGACGGAGCCCTCTCTCTGACATGGCAGTCACGCGATATCGAGCGATAGTTTCTGGTGACCTACTTAAAACCGCGGGAGAAGCAGACAACAACAACACTATATAACAATATTATAAGATTCGTAAGATATATTCGTCTTATTGCTCAAAATGCATTTATATCTACAGTGTGTGCAATTCTGGGCTTTTCGTTATCCGACGCACTGTACAAAAACTCGCAACTTACGTCTGAGGGTTTCCCGCCAATGTTATTTTGGTCTCGAAAGAACGCGAGAATCCACGTGACACCTAAACGTCATTGGCAACGGATGCACTTGTCGACCGTGAAGAAGGGCATCGAAAGCCCAAGTGACAAGCACAGATTTTAGTTTTACTACAATAACAGTCGTTTTAGTGGGAAAATGCAATAGAATATATTTCCAGGCGTTGTTTACAATGTATTTCTTGCGGAATTTTGAATCTCAAAGGAAGAGTTATTATTGCTTTAATTTCTAAAATGAATCAAATTTTTAAAAACTTTTGAATCAACATTTCCGTACAACTTACAATATTTATTTTATTTAATTTTTAATTTAATTAATTTTGTTATAATATGTTGAGTTGTTTATTATGTTTGGCATGTACTCTCAAATCCTCAGCCCTTGCTTCATTTGTTCTTAGTTATCATTATTTTAGTTGAGCATTTACTTGTTTTGGCAAAAATCATTATGTATATTTTTATCAGTATTATTGTGTAAAGTGTCTTGAAAATAAAAGCTACAGCGAATTATGATGAAAACACTGATTGATTCCCAATATTTATATGTATATAGATATATAGTTGTTATGTTCATGTTAAAATGAAAATTGAAAAGGGAACTTGTGGTGTCAAGATTTTCAAATTTGCTTACTAGTAATACTAGTATTTCACAATAGAAGGGAGAAATTGTTTAATGTCCATAGGTTGATTCTGTTATGAACTGTTTTCAACAGTCTTTATGGGACAGTAGATTGCCTATTTCTCAGAGTAACTCGAATATAACCTGGATGATTATTGCCCCTCACAGTGGCCCACAGTATGTCAATTTTTAAAAGGTTAAAGAATGTATGGCTTTTTTTTTCAAAGGAAAATATTAATTTGGTTAAGAGAATTTACAGCTGATCAATTTCTTAAATAACATCTTTTGTCAATTTTTTTTCTCTTTTTTAGCTTTCCATCCATAATGGTATGACCAACAATAAGGATGATTATGAAATCTGTGTCAGGGCAGAGAATGTAAATCTTCCAAGGAATGGGTACTTTGGTGTCTCAGCAGCCACAGGTGGACTAGCAGGTACTGTAGAACAAGTTAATTATATACAGACATTAGAGTAATTTAGTTCTGATTTGAGTTGCATTTAGAATGATAAGAAATATGGATAGATTTTTTTTCCAAAATAGTCATCACTGTTGGAAGCTTCTGGAAAGCAAGAACATTGTGCTCTAGCTGAAATGAGCGCTTCTTTCAGTTGCAGAATTTTGCTGTTGTCATAGCTTTGCAAATTATAGATTAGTGGACATTGTGATGTTTTGTTAAATTGGTTTGGACTTTGGAAACAAATTTTGTTGAAATAATTGTTTCATACCTCTAAATAAATCTGAGAATTGTTAAGTTATTAATAAGGGGTTAAGGAAAAAATTTTGTTTTGAAAGACAAAATTTCAGAAAGTAATCAGTACAAAAATATAGTTTTAATGAAGTAAGCCTATCATGTAGATTTCCATTTATCACAAAAGCTAGACAATCACATAAAAGAAACTGTCACCTGTTGTGCATTATCTTTATCAGAAAAATGGGATATTGATGTTCTGTGCTGATAAAAGAGTAAATTATGCGGTGACAGGAATTAGAGAAATTATGTCTGTTGAAATGGTAATGTTACTTGCCGTTATGAAAGGGTAATTATATGGTTAGGCCTTTTATCATGTTTTAACACATTTAAGTAATTAACTTGCTTCATATGTGTGGAAAATGATATGTGAAGAAAACATTCGTGTAGTAAAAAATGTCAGTAAATTCTCAAGGGACTTTCTTACCAGCTTTACACAAGAGGACTCCTCTATCCGTCTTCCCTTTAGTTAGGACTCCATATGGTTATATTGGGTCCATTGAATCACTAGAAGGGTATTTAAAACCAGTGGACCTTCTATTCATATGACCAATAATGGCTGCTTTTCTTAACCTAGCCATACACATAAAAATCTGACATAAGAAATAAATGGGCTGGTTTGATGGAATAATAGACTAAGATCATTTCTAATTGATTGAAGTAGTGGGTGTTATGAGTGCAGGAGGTATTTTTATCATATCTTTTGAACAATACTTATCATGTGCGACTGAATATTAGATATTGTGTAAAAGGGGAGTTTCAGTACAGATTGATAGAAAAGTGAATTGTCCAGAATTGAGTTGCATATAGTTTCACTGTATTTCTGATGTTATAATACATTAAAGACAATTGTGTTTTCATCATTGATCTTAGCCTTTGAGAGTGTAAAGTAAGGTAACTAAATAACCATTATTCAAATGTGGATCATGATGTGAATTATTATTCCAAAGCTTCCAATTTCTAAAGTTTAACCTGTTCAATTTCTTTTAGGAGCTGTTGGTTTGTAGCATTTTTGTCAGTAGAGAGTTTCTAATCAAAGTTTTTTTTTTTCATTTGCATATCTCACACATTGCTTGAAGTGTTATATAATTCTTCATCACCATGTTTGCTAATTCAGTAGAACCATGCTGTGATATTCAGAGTTTATTATTTTCTGTATACTGAGTGCTGTTGTGTGTTCTGTCCTGCAGAAGCTTCTAAGGGTGGTTTAGTGAACACTGTTGTTGTTGATGTTGTTGTTAACCTTAATTATCAAATTTCATTATAAACCTTACTAGTCATAATGGTTTTTCAATTTTTGTTGGTAACAAAATTTTTTTTAGTGTGATAATTATCTTTGGTTTTTAAAATAACATCAATTTAAACACTGTTGCTGTGTTTCCATAGAGATAATGATGTTATTCTCGCGTAATTTCCTTTGTGTCTCAAATGGTAGTCTGTATTTAATTTTGCAGTTCACTCATAGATCTAGTGTGAAAAAGTTTATTCAATAACAGTCACATTTTATTAATTTTTTGTCAATTACTTGAGTAAAATAAGTGTTAACATTTTTAAAAACTTCAGATATCTGATGTGGTAGAGCAGCAGTAGAATTTTTGTTTTTCAACACACATCAATTGGAACAGCATATTATCACAATTAACAATGAAATCAGACCTTTGTGGTAGATATATAAGGTGAAAAAAACCCTAGCGTAGTAAATTTTACAGAATCCTTAGAATTAGATGACACCTTTTGTATGATTTCATTGTTCAGAGCAGGTTTGTTCTTGAACTGGCACATTGTTTTAATATGCTGAAATCTAATTGGCAGCATAGGACCACTGGTTCACAAAAATATAGACTGAGTTACTGCCAAACTTATGATTATCTTATTTATCATGTCAGATATCTTGTGTTTTGATTTCATGGTTTCCAGTTTAGATTTTTTGTCTAGAAGGAAATTTTGCATAATAGCCTTCAACAAGAGAAAAAAATGGAAAGCATCTTTGAGGGGAAAGACATTTTTTATATATTTTTACATTCTTTTGTAATTGAAATTGTTTTAAGAATGTATTTTCACTGAGTGTAAAACTCGGGCATGGCAAGGTTTTAAAGAAATCATGAAATTAAAATAAAAGGACTTATATATATATATATAGATGGCAGCATACCTATATGTATGATGATATACTGCTAGCACTGCATGCTGCTGCTGTTAGTAAAATGATAGTTTTCACGTTATGTTATGTACTTGTACTGCATGAAGTGGTTAAAGAACGGGAAAGCTTGCCTATTAGATTATATTATTAAAATACAGTTTTCTGTCCTGGATTCACGTCAGCAAAAATAATAAACGTATTTTGTAGTTTGATTTCATTTTTGTAATATAGTTGCTATTAGCAACACTCAGTCTCATACAGACAATATATTCACGCAATCATTTCCGTTGGCAGGTTTTACTCACTTTTTTCTATCATTGCCTTTCAGATGATCATGACTTGGTGTCATTTATCACCCACTCCATGACAGTGCCAGTGACAGGGGTATGCATAATCTATACAACTTCTTTTGGCATGGTTCACCTTTTTTCTGTATAAAATCCTAGATTTATTGTGAAGCTCATTTATTAGTAGAGAGGATATTATTAATTATCAAGTAAGAGTATTGGTACTTTCTCTTCAGCTGCATTGTATGACAGAGACTGTGCTGTACTTCAGACCTATCTGCTTTCTCCTATGATTTAAAATGTGAGAAGAGGAATATGCTTTCTCTTGGGGGGGGGGGGGGGGGGG